TTTCCACCGGAATATCATGAACTACTGGTTTCATCTATATTTGTTGCCTTGTTGGATACATGTATAACAATTTCTCAAAATATATTTTTATTCCATCAATAACCTGGAAAGGTGAACAAGCCAAGTGTCTTATATAAACGCCGCTCCAGTTATATTTTAATGGAATGTTCAGCTGGTATCAACAATAATGTTGTTTTTTAACAGATTTCACACCAAAATGCAATGTCCACATTAATAACCGTGGGAGAAATCGAAATGCGAGCGCACCGTTACTGTAAGATGAAGGTTCCTACCGAAAACGTTTAATTCGATGCAAACTGACTGCTATGATAAGAAGAGAATAATTAATTTTATCTGAAACCTACCTGCCAATTTCTCTGTCTTGGGTTTCCGTTGAGATCACTTGAGTTCCCGGATCCTTGTTTCCAAAGCTTCGATTGTCAAGTTTGTTGCCATGTGTCAAGAAAACTATAGCAAGTATACAGACTGCCATTTCTACTACCTTACTCTCATAGACTTACTTGAAAACAACAACGAAGTTTTTTCCAATCTCGCGCGTGTACGTTTGAACAAAGATGGCGGCATTTCAAACAAAGACTTATGGGTAGTCAATTAGGGTTTTTTTTCATTTCTATTGTTAACACGCCAATAGTCTGCTTACCCTTCACAAGCTTGGAAAAACACTGATAACTGCAATATGTGTTTATGTAAATTGTTTGTTTTTACAATGTCCGTCACATCTCGCGAGGCCTCATTCATTCCAAATCAAGCGCTTCCGGTTTCGGGACAACAATTTTAGTAAGTGGTCTGACTACCAGGTGGGCAGCACATGCTACCTCGACCGTGACGGACCCAGGGACTGGGCAGCTGTCAACCATGGCAGAATTATATATATAAAAAAAATTACCTGTCTGCGAAAGACAGTAAAATGACTAGTCTATCACAAATGTACACTAAAAACATATAACCATAAACACTTTAACAGTACAGTATAAAAATGGGCTATTGCTTTTCCTCCCTGCATGGGCCCAAGCTGGATACTGTATATAGAAATTATTTTACAAGTGTAACAGTAAATTAATATAGCCCCCAATGGAACAACACAAAGCTAAGTTTGCCATTTCATCTAAGCTGAAACCAACAGACTTGTCAGTATCCGGGTACAGAAACCTAGCTGAAACCTACATTACCCAGTATCCAATAGGTTTCCGCAACAACGGAAACTAAGTCATTTTGTTATGAATCTTTCAGCGACCTGAAACTAAATGGAAACTCATTATGACAGTTTCAGTTGTAGAAATCTGACGGAAACCTAGATTTGTTAGTTTCAGTTTTGTAAACTACGCGGAAACTCACATTGTCTGTTTCCGGATGCTGAAACCTAGCGGAAACGTACATTACCCAGTATCCATTAGGTTTCCGCAAAAATGGAAACGAGGTTATTTTTGCTGTGCTACGTGCGAGGAGGAAACCAGAGTCACAGCACTGTGGAACTTGCTCTCCAAATTCACCTCTAAACCTCCAATGTTTATTGCACTTGCTGTTGAATATCTGATCATCTAGTGGTTGTGAATACAGAATACTCTGCATCTCAGGGGGTACACATAAACGTCTTTGGTATAGGTGTCTTAATAAGGTAAACTGGGTTGAGAGTAAAATACTGCTCTCCACATACTATCACAAAATATTTACATATCCATGAAGCATCTGCCACGTATCCCTGGCAATCTCCAATGTTATAGATGATGGGTCTTATGCTGCGTCCGCCTCAGTGGGAGGGAGCTTCTTTCCATCTCTTTATATGACCCAGTAGTTTAGGCCTTGTGTATCACTGGCTCATCGAAGTTTCTTGTTCGTTTCTCTTTCTTAGTGCTTTGGAATCCTTACCGCAAATCCCTGTAAATCTTCATCTGGGGAATGTGATTTTAAGGGTAAGGTTTCGTTGTCTGAAGTATAAGAGTCTTTGCATTGCAATGTTGAGTGTGCAAGATGATCTGGATACTTGAGTGAGGTTATGAATTCATTTAAATCTTTCAATATCATGGATTTCGGTTCTGTCTGATCTTGAAAAAAGGGGAGCTTCCGGACCCGTTTCTCTGCTGCAAATTCTTCTTTGTCTGGCATCGGGGGCGTGGAATCACGTGGAAATAACTTATCGGCAAAGACATACCAAGTTGTGTTCCGATGGGTCCATAGATGAAGCCAGTTCCTCAAAGGCGTCTTGTGTATGATGAAGGGCTAGTGACATCTCTAACCGCACAATCCGTACAATCCATGTTATCTGTGCGTCTCGAGCTGTAATTATAAGCTGACTGCGCTCTATGATGACCAATCATTCTCTGATATCTGAACTGTTTACGCTTCTCCTGCAGCTTGTTCGGCTGGCTGTAATGTGATGCTCTATAACTGGGTCAGTAGACACTCAGCGGCCTGTGCTGTCTGTGTTGTCCCTGTGATCCCTGTGATACGTGCAACCCATGTGGTTCTGGACTCGTTCATAATCTAAGTTTGAGTGCATAGGGATAAAGTTGTGGACATCACTGAGCCTCTGCCGGTGTAACTATACAAGGTCGTGAAGTTCGTGCTGCAGAGTCAAAGTTGTGTGGATCGTTTGCAGTGGCTAAGTCACAGACCATGACTTGCATGCAAGGGTATTTCTCTGATGATGTGATTGCTGCCGCTGCTGCTGCATGTCACGGTATTTTGTCTTCTTTGCAATAACCTCTAATCTATCCAATAGATTTGTTCATAAGATCTCCGACAGGACAGGACACGGAGGAAGCCCATCTCCCACGAATCCAGCTGAATACCAACTGGCATATCAGTATTATCTGACAACCACACCAGGGAAATACGGGGACACAGTTTCTTGGCAAATAACTTGTCTTAGCCTCCCTAATAATACCAACAACCGTCTTTTGTGAAAATGTGAAACCCTTGACGGATGGTGAAATTCTAAATCTTCTCAAAAGCGCGAACAAGACGACATGTGACTTGGACCCAATACCAACAACACTCCTTTGTGAAAACACGGACATCCTACCGCCTGTCGTTACAGGGCTTGTCAACACCTGTATTATCACGGGCTTTGTCCCCACTTGCCATGAAGAATGCTCTAGTCAAGCCTCTGCTCGATAAGAAGTCAGGACCCGACAGGGACAGTCTTAAAAACTACCGACCAGTTTCGAATCTATCATTTGTTTCTAAACTTATTGAAGAAGCAGTACTGCAGCGTCTAAACGATCACATCACAAGTCACAGTCTACAAGAACAATTCCAGTCAGCTTACAGATGTCACCATAGCACTCAAACTGCACTCTTGCGAGTTGTTGATGATTTACGCCGTGGAGTAGATAGAATTATTGGGCACTTGAGTGCCGCCTCCGACACCATCTACCACCACAAACCGCGTAATTGACTCCAGCATGAAATGGGCATATGTAAAACAGCACTTCACTGGTTCCAGTCCTACCTTCAGAATCGATTTCAAACTGTGTCCAATGATGACAACGATGCTGAAATATGGCGTACCTCAAGGATCTGTCCTTGGACCCCAGTTATTCACTCCCTACATGAAACCATTGGGATCTATCATGGAAAATCATAATCTTTTCCGCCACTTTTATGCAGATGCTTCCCAAGTGTACACACTTTTCAAGCCAACGCATTCTGACGACAAAGTAGCCATGAATACAACCACTGATTGTTGCTAGAGCGTGAAAACCTGGATGAACATAAATATGCTCAAGCTCAAAGAGGAAAACAACAGAATCAATTCATATTTGCCCAAAGAACAGACGCGATAAGACTAATCTTACTAGCATCGCAGTAAGAAGCAACGAGATCACCCTCAGTCCTGCAGTCAAAGGCCTCGGTGCCACTCTTGACAATAAACTGTCAACGGAGAAGCATGTAAATCAACTAGCCAAGACGCGTTACATGCATATGTGTAACATTAGCAAGATCCGCAAGCTGATCTCAAAAGATGCTAAATGAAGCTGGTGAGGTCATTGATATTATCCCGTCTGGAGTACTGCAATGTTCTACTAACGGGATCTCCCAAGGGATCAATCACCAAACTACAGCGTGTACAAAACACAGCAGCAAGAATTGTTACCACGTGTCCCAAAACGAGAACACATGACACCAATACTCCGATGCCTGCACTGGCTACCTATACAAGAGAGGATTATATACAAAACCTTGTGTATAACAGTCCAATGCATCCAGGGTACAGCGCCAGTCTATCTGCAGGAGCTTTCCAAGCCATACTTTCCATCTAGATCTCTGTGATCCGAGACAAAGAACTTGCTGCAAGTTCCAAAAACATCAACAAAGGCGAAAGGTCTTTCGCCCACACAGCACCAGTCCAATGGAACCAACTGCCAGATAATCGGAAATCATGTGACCATTTCTCAAGTTTTAAAACTCTACTCAAGACCCATTTTTTCCGGGTGGCATATCTCTAAAACTCTTTCCTGCTTACTTCAAAGCGCTTTGAGCATGTCATGCAACGTGGATATTGCGCTATAGAAATTGACTTTATTATCATGATAATAACCAACACATACTTTTTTAAGTCTGTCAGCGAAAGTTGTTGGCAGAGGTCACAACTAGACAATTTACCACAATTTGAACAATTTGAAGGCTGAAGTGGAGGCCGAGATAAATTTGATAAACATGTGTGTCTGTCTTCAAGTGAGACAACTTCTTTGGATAGCTCTTGGGAAGACCACATGCAACAACACAAAACCATTGTCTATAAATATTTATTCAAGTTAAACCTGTTGATAAAAAACATGTTTTAGGAATAGGGCAATCGAAATTTAAAAGAGCGTATTTGTTCGAATTTCACAGAATCATCAATGTTTTGAGAGTTTCTGTTTAAGCATAGTGCAGTATATATTGATGCAGTTTTTAACTTGCAATATTAATTACATCCAGTGAATGCACAGTGCCAGTGTCAGTGTCACTATTTATATGGAGAAGTGCTACATTACCTGATCTTGGATGTTTTCCGTGTCCTTCGATTTTGCTGCAATTATAACGAAATCCTCAAACTATTGACATGCGAAAAACATTTCAAATTCAAACTCGCATATTTTAGCAATTTATACAAATTGAATAGCATGCCCCGACTGGCATGACGCTATTGAGAAGGGTTGCTCCTCAAACTTATATGTGGAGTTGTTTTCTCTTATTGTTGAACTAATTAGACGTACGACATAGCTGAGACAATGTACCATAGTCTTTGGTGAAATAATGATCTTGGTGTTTTCAGAGCAGGACACGTTGATGAACAACATTATGGCCTAGAACCGATTAATGTACAAAATAATGCATTACTTTATTTTTAGAAAGAGGTATCCTAGTTTTAGAGAGAGCTATGGGCTGGGCCCTATCATCGACCATATGTACATTACGTGTTCGTCTTTTTCTTTTCTTCCTGTTTTTGACATATCTACATCTAAACGAGAATTTTGCTGGAAGAGCAAGTTTCACTCTCAATGCATGTATAAATGAATAACTGTCATCAGCGGTTTGAGAAAAATATCATGAAATGAACTTTCTTCGGTAATACCGACATCCCTATAACTTATAAAACACAAGAAGAAAAACAAAAAATTTTCACTACGAAGCCAAGCCCCCAAAAAAAGACACAACAAAAAAACAAAGAAAAAGAAAAGAAAAACAAACCCCACAAAAGAACATTGCTTACCCTTATCTTGCTGCTGGGTGATGTCATTTTCCAGTTTCTTTATCTGTAATATTCAGGACACATTTGAAATACAAAGTCGGTAGCCTAAAATAACTTTTTCATGCAGAATACAGTATTCGACAGACAACATTTTGGTACTGGTTAAATGTTGGATGGCTAAATATTAAATACATCTAGTCAGTGCCCCAGATGTAAACATCTATTACACAGAGTGAGTTCAAATTTTGTCTCACATTGTCTACCATATCGTGACGAAACAAAAGCATACATGAATAAGAAATATTTGAAACTGTATTTAATCCTGCCTGAAAAGAACAAAATAATAACTATATTATCACATATGATTTAACACTTTAACTGTTTCCACTCTCTCACCTGGAAATGTTAGCCGTAAGTCCATTGCAACATGAAACGTCTACTCACCTGTGAATCCCTTTCTGCAAAAACACACACAATTTCATGTGAAACGTAACATCACATATTTATATAATAAACAAACAAATAAATAATCTATTTGTAAAGCGCATTTCTCGACGCATGTGGATTAAATAAAATGATGAAATGTGTAGTTCACCTTCTCTGAATAACTGAACTATAACATGTACACATACAGATCTCTGCTGATTAACAAGCATTCAGTGATCCAGAATAATACGGAAGATCGCAGACTCGCCCTGATTATGTGTCCATAATCAGAAGGATACAGAAGGATAAAATACCATGTACTACAGTAACCACCTCCATCCCCTATCGTCTTATCTCCACTGTAAGCTGACACAGCATGATATAACTGTACACTTTGGACCATTTGTATGCCAATCCCGGTAGAGTGAAATCCATCATATTCGATCTTTTATACCACTCAGAAGAAAAAAGGTAGAGGACCTGCCCTAGAACCGACTCACTCAGTCACACAGTCAGAGGACTTGCCCTAGAACCGACTCACTCAGTCACACAGTCAGAGGACCTGCCCTAGAACCAACTCACTCAGTCACACAGTGAGAGGACCTGCCCTAGAACCGACTCACTCAGTCACACAGTCAGAGGACCTGACCTAGAACCAACTCACTCAGTCACACAGTCAGAGGACCTGCCCTGGAACCAACTCACTCAGTCACACAGTCAGAGGACCTGCCCTAGAACCAACTCACACAGTCACACAGTCAGAGGACTTGCCCTAGAACCAACTCACACAGTCACACAGTCAGAGGACTTGCCCTTGAACCACCTCACTCAGTCACACAGTCAGAGGACCTGACCTAGAACAAACTCCCTCAGTCACACAGTCAGAGGGCAACTCACTCAGTCCCACAGCCAGTGGATCAGCCCTAGAACCAACACACTCAGTCATGCAGTGAGAGGACCTGCCCTAGAACCAACTCACTCAGTCACACAGTCAGAGGGCAACTCACTCAGTCACACAATCAGAGAAGTAACGTGCTGTTTCCACTTTATGAATACGAACCATTCAGTTGGCGTTGATGGTTCTGTATTTTGTTTCCTAAAGTGCTGAGCTGTAAACAGAAATGGCATATTTTTAATCAAAGGGTTATTTCCATTAATCTATGTGTTCATATAAACACCGCCGTTGCCTATGCATCCAATGGTTATGGAGCCCTTACATGCAGTGATTGTAATCACCAAAGGATACTTTCCAAGACGTAATGTAAAATCGTTTTCCAATTATTGGAGCAGATTTTAAGTAACGACAATGCAGTTAATGACTGCCTAAATGCGTGAGGTAAATTGGCTGTTCCGCGTTTGTAACACCATACTCATGGTGAGATACAGAGCAGTTTTCATGTTTCCATTGTAGGTCGAACAAAAAGAATGTTGTTTATTTTGTGGTCTGATATTCATACAAATATGACATACTTTCCAAGTTCATGCGAAATCTCTACTAACAGAAAACGTCATTTGTGCAATTCCAACTTTGCATGAACATGAGTTTTCGAATCAATGTTAAGTTGTGATGATGACCGGTGTTTTGTAGAAAAGAGAAATTATCCTGCCCAATGGCGACATCTGTCACAAACACAAGCAAATGTAAGTCAGTTGGTCAGCTGAAAATACATGGGGACATATCGTGCAAGTCAAAACAATGCCTGAGAGCAGCTATCCTACTCCGAAACATGACAGACATGGATGTACAAATCATCGGTCTTTGTAGACATGATCCTCCCTCGACGTCTGTCATCCGAGGTTCCCAATGACAATGTGTAACAATATAAGCCACAACAATAATTACACCTCCGAAACTAAGAAAATATTTAACTTTCATACCATTCTCCACACTGCTAAACCATGCTATTGGAATTACCAAGTGGCTGATTAGGCTGTGAGCACAATCAAAACTGCATAGTCTTCGTAATTATGGCCATCCAAACATTATTGGCACTAACATGTCACTAGCTAAGAACTCTGTCACAACTATCATTAACAGTTAATTAGCGCATTAGCAATTAAAGTGTAGAATACTTACCTTCTCTTCTAAAGCTGCCTCCGTGTCTGTAAACAATAACAATTTGTGGTGAATTAAACAATGAGTATACAAATATCTTACCTGAGTATATCAATCCCAGTATATCAAATCGAGCTTGGGGATGGCGGGATCGAGCCCACCTGTGACTGGGTGCAACAACTTTGTGTGCAGACTCTTTCAGTGTTGTCACAATCCCTTGTGCACAGTACACAACCCCACGGATCCGTTAGTAAATAGCCAGATGATGGCCACATGAATACGTGCAAACACCTAGTTGTGGGTACAGGAAACGTAAGTAATACTTGAACAAAGTACTGTGACTATGTGTCCCAGCTGTGGATACGAACCCCGTTAGAGTGGGAAAGCCGCAATTAATTGGTGGCTGTAAGAGTTGCATGATCCCCAGGGAGCTGAGTTTAAAAATGCGATTTGCCGTTAAGACATCGAGGCAAAATACAGAGCGTTTTCAGCATGCATGTAGATGGAATGGAATATGGAGCTATCTAAATACCCATATAATAATAAGCTGGGGTTGCAAGGATCAACTTCTTGTATGGAAAATAATTTTGGAAGAGGTTAACTCACCGTAAACCTCTCCATGTGCTGGATTGACTACAAGAAAGCATACGACTTGTATTGACCTCCCTGAGCGACTACTTGATTTGCTAAAGTCTTTTATGAGGTCGACTCAACTTGCGATGTACTCTCAAGGGCAGGTGCAGACCTATTCTGCTTTTGTTTGTTTTTAAATCCTTTGAGTTTTCTGCTCAGTAGAGAGGAAGGTTATCACCCCGGACCGTCTCAGCCCAGATCTCCAGCACCACTTACACATCGAGCTCCTTGCCAAAGGAGATACCAGTTTGAAAGAACAGGTTCTCCTTGTCGTGTTTTTTTCTAATGATATTGGTATGACATTTGGAATCGACAAATGAATACTCTTCATCAGTAACGAGGCAAGGTAACTAATGATGGATCGGTCAGGTTACAGTGGGGGGAGGAATTATTGAGCATCTTGTGGAAGATCAGGCCTACACCTATCTTGGAATGCAAGTTCGAGACAAGCTTCAGAATGCCCAGATTCAAGTTCAGAGCTAAATGCTCGAAACAAGGTCAAAGCCACCAATACTTTTGCTGTGTCAGACCTTTCCTATTCCTTTGGAGTAGTTGATTGGAAAAAAGAAGACATCCAGAGTTTTGACCGCCTCACCAGAAGGATCATGTCTGATAACAGAACCCACCACCCTCGGTCCTCTCTTAATCGTTTATATATGCCAAGCACATTCTGGAGGTCGGGGTTTGATTAATATGGAGACTTTTCATGATGGAATTTGATTGTGTACTTTTGCACATATTTATTTATCGGATGATCCTCTGGTGATGCATGCCAAGACTCATGATGAAAGCAAGGAATCTCACAGCTATTTTAAGCGTGCCAATGTTTTTGGACAGAATCTGAATTTGAGATTGATTTTGTCGATGGCGATGTACTACTGGACGGTACAGCAATTGGAGTAAACCAGGTAAAGTTATTCACCAAGTCTGCCAAGAGTCGGTCATTTGTGGAGAAGCTTTCTGAGAAACCACTGCACCTTGTACATATGCAGTGTGTGGAACAGAATAGCAATCCCACCGACTCCTTTGCCTGGATTACGTCAGCTGGTCTTAAATGTGAAACTGATCGCTGTCCAAGACTGGTGACTTCCAACTCGCAATCGCCTAAGTGTGCTTCTTAAAGAAAATACAGAGATTGTCCAATACCCTGTCAGTGGATGCCCTTCCTTTGCACAAACAGCATATCTTAAACGACATGATGGCATGGCTTGATGCTTTTACTACCGTCTCCGCCATGCCTGTGGCCTTGACTCTGAGGTCTATCCATGGTGCGACCTTAAACATGTCCAGGACGTCATGGAAAATGATGCTTTCAAACGTCTATGAAACAGGCCTATATACAGCCTGAGAGGAATTGCAGCCAACAAACTTGATCTTGTGCTTTTTGATAAAACCAATGAATTTATTTAAGATTGGTAAGATTTAGGAAAAGCATGCTAAATATTCAGACCTCGCCTTTGAAATGTGTCGCTTGCAGACCAAGTACACTATCGTCAGGCTCCCAAATGTTCTCGGTGCCCTTGATTTGGTACCTCCTGATCTCTTGGCGCAGATCAGGAGAGTGCCCGGGTTCTCCTCCGGGAGCACAGCCCTTCTGACACTCTGGGTAATGCAGAAGGCTGCAGTGTGGGGAAGCCTTCATATTCTCTTGAAAGTTCTTGCTGGGTCTCTAGATTATATATCTGATATACCTGAGTGAGTGAGTGAGTGAGTTAAGATTTAAAGTCACATCGGCAATATTTCAGCCATATCGTGACTAAAACTAGTTCTAACTTTGTAATACAGACATATTATATATAAAACCCTGTCAACGAAGGACAGTAAAACAACTAGAATATCACAATAAGATTTAAAACTAGTGTGGAAGGTTAAAACTAATAGCCCTATTAGGACAATACAAGATAAAAACAGGCTATAGATCGCCAACAACTGAAGGTCGATCACCATACTAGGGACCATGGGGACTTACAGTACCTTGGCTACCTGCATGGACCCTAGTTGGATTTACACCATCCCTTCAGCTGCTGGCGATTGTAAGAAATGTTAGCTACAATTAAAATGACAAAAATGCTACGTTTAAAAATCCTGGTAAGTTTAAATTGACTTTCGAAGTTTTGGGACTTACGTACCCTCTCAGGGGGACAATATTTTTACGATACTTCAAGCCCCCTTGAGAGTACAGCCACTAACAATCTAAGTTACTAATCAAACTACCAATCATTAAAACACAGCTATATACCGAACATATTAATCAAAATTCATTAATGAAATCAATTTCTTTAAAAAAAACAAGAATTAAATGAAGATGAACAGAATTAAAAAGATCCATAACAGTTTTAACATTGAAATATTTATCCCTTATGATGGAGAATTCAACACAGTCAAGCAGGAGATGCTTGACTGTGACTCTCTCATCACAAGGGATACAAAACGGAGGATCTTCACCATTTAACAAATATTTGTGAGTGTACCTTGTATGGCCAATACGACATCGTCGCATGATGACCTCTTCAAATCTGGACTGACAACCCAAGTAAGTGTAACCGATATAAGGTTTTATTTCATGTAATTTATTTATACCTACTTGGGTGTCCCACTTCTTTTGCATCAGATCACGGATATAAGATCTTATAGCAGCTTTGTAATCAGAGAATGGGATCAGAAGTGGTGTCACAGATTTGTTGAGTGCTGCCTTAGCAGCAATATCAGCCATTGTGTTCCCAGAAATGCCAACGTGGCTAGGTAAGATATACCTCATATCTATATATGGCACTTGATTAAAATACAAGGTTTGTTACATTTGGTTTTCCCTGCTAAATGCCACTCGTTGGTTATGGGAATCTCCAGAAGTGAAACTGACGCCGTCACAACAGAGGAGGTCTGTATTTAGCTGTATATATAATGTGTATACCTGGGTTGATGATGGTTTCATTGTGAATTCCTGTGGCGTACACCGTATTTGCTTCAGTGTCTTCTCCGCCCACCCCTGTCACGGTGACAGTTTGGTGTCTGGATTCACATCTCCCTTCTTGTCTGCCGAACAAATAACTGTATAGACCTCCCATATTTCTGCAACATATGTATCAAGATAATTATTTCAAACAATCAAATGTATGGAAGCAGCACATAGGAACAAGCTCTATAATGTGTAATGCACTCACGAACATCAAAAGGTCGTGGGAATTCCACAGGACACACAAGTCTTCTGTGACTGGATGAACACCTTTACATGTTACTCACAGGCCTGCAGCTGGAGGCACACGTGTTGCCATTTGCTCGCCATCATGGACGTCGTTTTGTATCTCATGACGACAATGTAATGGCACACAGGGCTGGTGTTATTACTGAGCACCTCAAGCAGGAGAACTTAACCATTTTACCATGGCCAGCACTCAGACCAGTCTTGTCGCCCATCGAACATTTCTGGGATATCCTTGGACAGTGCATAAAATCTCGATCACAGTCCCAAGTTGACATTAAGAATTATGGTCCTGTATGCAATACATTCTTTAGAGGTTTCCCTAGCTCATGCTAGTTCCCGCTTCTTAGTCCTTGACGCGACCTGGTGATATAGTATGACGTGTTGCATGACGTCACGTTATGACGCATGTAGTCAGCCTTCTCGCAGCCCTGCATGTTGGGCCATTCCAGTCTACAGCATAACCACAGCGCGGAGAGGCTGGTTTTTCTGTAAACCGTGGCATGACGTACTCGCAATTTAAGTTGAAATTATCGTGTTTCCCACAACATTCAGAGGCTAGAGAATAATCAACCGTTCTTCAATTTTCAATATCAGGTGTGTGGCCTTCAGGTGTGTGACCTTCAGGTGTGAAAGATCATCCAAAAAAGTGAGTAAGGTCAATGTGCACAAAGTGCACGTGCGATACGTGACATCAAATGTCATGCAAAGTGTTTTGCTGTATGTTGGTTTACTTGTTCGTTATGCTGGCAGTGACGAGGTCTGGGTGGAATGGGAGGGGAGGTCCCCAATGACGTCCCGCGAGTTTCAGGTCAAATTCAACTTAAAATGGAATTTAGTAAATTAATCATACTGAAATCTATTTATCAGTGATTCGTTAAGGCGAAAAAACAAAATGTACTGGAATGCTTTTATCTAGGACAGACGTACAGGCAAGGTGACTTACCAGGTATCTTCTCCGAGATCAGAACGCCACACAAACACAGGTCTAATGTGCAGCGGCAAAGAAGGCCTCAGTAAAACACTGCACAAAGTTGACCTTGCCACACAACAGCAACACACTGCTGTATACTGAACGAAGTTAGACGGTGGTACACGGAGTTAGACGGGTGTTGAACGAAGTTAGACGGGTGTGGGACGGAGTTGGTATAGACAAACAGTGGTGTGCAGAGCTAATCCCCCAACACAATGCAACACCATTACAGCCTTCAGACTCATTCGGTAAAACCCGTCCCTTTCCGTGTTCTATAAGAAGGTTGAGACAGTCACCTAACCGGGAGTGCACAGAGACGACAACGACACCGCCAGGCTGGAGTTAGTGGACCCTGACACTACACAGTAGCACGATGCGCATTGAAGTAAATGGCTGTATACATCACGACAGGACAGGGCAGAGTAGAGTAGCAAGTGCAGGTAATCCCCCTTCTTTCTGCTATACTGACACCCGGTGTCACTCGCTATGGGGGATGATTCCGTATATTGATTTACAAGTAAACAACATTGTTTTACTGGCGGTTAGATTCCATAATGTATCTTGAATGTATTCTTACATGGAAACGGCGGGATATAGAAAATACAGTACAGTATATGTATACTGTACACTCCCAGTGAGGTATATATACATACAGTACAGTATATGTATACTGTACGCTCCCAGTGAGGTCTATATACATACAGTACAGTATATAACACTATATATGTAGTGTTATTTTAGTTTATATATTTATTTATTGAACAGGAAGCCAGATATGTAAATTAAGTATATACAAGTGCGAGGGAAGTGGGAGATGTAATTACGTATGTACAAACAGTTCAGTGAGATGGAAGAACAAAATACAATGATAGGGTGTGTTTTTACAATATGGGCAAGGGGTGTGTTTACATAGCAGAGTGATTAAAGTAGATTGAGTTTGAGAGTCTATGATTTCTGGTTGATGTACCAGGCGCTGAGGAGGTTAACCCCTTGATCTCTGCTGGTCTCAGGGGAGGTTAACCCCTTGATCTCTGCTGGTCTCAGGGGAAGTAAACCCCTTGATCTCTGCTGGTCTCAGGGGAGGTTAACCCCTTGATGTCTGCTGGTCTCAGGGGAGGTTAACCCCTTGATCTCTGCTGGTCTCAGGGGAGGTTAACCCCTTGATGTCTGCTGGTCTCAGGGGAGGTTAACCCCTTGATCTCTGCTGGTCTCAGGGGAGGTTAACCCCTTGATCTCTGCTGGTCTCAGGGGAGGTTAACCCCTTGATCTCTGCTGGTCTCAGGGGAGGTTAACCCCTTGATCTCTGCTGGTCTCAGGGGAGGTTAACCCCTTGATGCCTGCTGGTCTCAGGGGAGGTTATCCCCTTGATCTCTGCTGGTCGCAGGGGAGGTTAACCCCTTGATCTCTGCTGGTCTCAGGGGAGGTTAACCCCTTGATCTCTGCTGGTCTCAGGGGAGGTTAACCCCTTGATCTCTGCTGGTCTCAGGGGAGGTTAACCCCTTGATGTCTGCTGGTCTCAGGGGAGGTTAACCCTTGATCTCTGCTGGTCTCAGGGGAGGTTAACCCCTTGATGTCTGCTGGTCTCAGGGGAGGTTAACCCCTTGATGTCTGCTGGTCTCAGGGGAGCTTAACCCCCTGATCTCTGCTGGTCTCAGGGGAGGTTAACCCCTGATCTCTGCTGGTCTCAGGCACTAATCTTCTTATGTTGATTGACTCGAAGTTTTCTTTTGCGCCAATTGCTCATGTTGGAAGCAACGATGTCAGTGTGTTGCCAGTTGATAGAGTGATTTGGATTTTTCACAATGTGTTCTGAGACGACAGATTTGAGATCAGATTCTCAGATGGGACTGGATTGTCTGGTCATATGGCTGAGTAATACTTAGGGGCAGTTTCAACAACAAACTTTACATTTGTTTATATACTACCCAACTACTACAATTCAGGCTGTAACCAGGAGAAATATCTGATGAAGGCAGGGTCGATTGCAAGATTCCGACCGTACAAAGAGCATGTGTTTATGAATCATTGCAAGATTCCGACCTTACAAAGAGCATGTGTTTGTGAATCATTGCAAGATTCCGACCGTACAAAGAGCATGTGTTTGTGAATCATTGCAAGATTCCGACCGTATAAAGAGCATGTGTTTGTGAATCATTTCAAGATTCCGACCTTACAAAGAGCATGTGTTTATGAATCATTGCAAGATTCCGACCTTACAAAGAGCATGTGTTTATGAATCATTGCAAGATTCCGACCTTACAAAGAGCATGTGTTTATGAATCATTGCCAGATTACGACCGTATAAAGAGCATGTGTTTGTGAATCATTGCAAGATTACAACCGTATAAAGAGCATGTGTTTGTGAATCATTGCAAGATTCCGACCTTACAAACAGCATGTGTTTGTGAATCATTGCAAGATTACGACCGTATAAAGAGCATGTGTTTATGAATCATTGCAAGATTACGACCGTATAAAGAGCATGTGTTTGTGAATCATTGCAAGATTACGACCGTACAAAGAGCATGTGTTTGTGAATCATTGCAAGATTACGACCGTATAAAGAGCATGTGTTTGTGAATCATTTCAAGATTCCGACCTTACAAACAGCATGTGTTTATGAATCATTGCAAGATTCCGACCTTACAAAGAGCATGTGTTTATGAATCATTGCAAGATTCCGACCTTACAAAGAGCATGTGTTTATGAATCATTGCAAGATTACAACCGTATAAAGAGCATGTGTTTGTGAATCATTGCAAGATTACAACCGTATAAAGAGCATGTGTTTGTGAATCATTGCAAGATTCCGACCTTACAAACAGCATGTGTTTGTGAATCATTGCAAGATTACGACCGTATAAAGAGCATGTGTTTATGAATCATTGCAAGATTACGACCGTATAAAGAGCATGTGTTTATGAATCATTGCAAGATTCCGACCTTACAAAGAGCATGTGTTTGTGAATCATTGCAAGATTACGACCGTATAAAGAGCATGTGTTTGTGAATCATTGCAAGATTACGACCGTACAAAGAGCATGTGTTTATGAATCATTGCAAGATTCCGACCTTACAAAGAGCATGTGTTTGTGAATCATTGCAAGATTCCGACCGTATAAAGAGCATGTGTTTGTGAATCATTGCAAGATTCCGACTGTATAAAGAGCATGTGTTTATGAATCATTGCAAGATTCCGACCTTACAAAGAGCATGTGTTTGTGAATCATTGCAAGATTACGACCGTATAAAGAGCATGTGTTTGTGAATCATTGCAAGATTCCGACCGTATAAAGAGCATGTGTTTGTGAATCATTGCAAGATTACGACCGTATAAAGAGCATGTGTTTAAAAATCATTGCAAGATTCCGACCTTACAAAGAGCATGTGTTTGTGAATCATTGCAAGATTACGACCGTATAAAGGGCATGTGTTTGTGAATCATTGCAAGATTCCGACCGTATAAAGAGCATGTGTTTGTGAATCATTGCAAGATTCCGACCGTATAAAGAGCATGTGTTTGTGAATCATTGCAAGATTCCGACCTTACAGAGAGCATGTGTTTGTGAATCATAGCAAGATTACGACTGTATAAAGAACATGTGTTTGTGAATCATTGCAAGATTCCGACCTTACAAAGAGCATGTGTTTATGAATCATTGCAAGATTGCGATTGTATAAAGAGCATGTGTATGTGAATCATTGCAAGATTCCGACCGCATAAAGAGCATGTGTTTACGAATCATTGCAAGATTACGACTCATCCAGGAACATGTGTTTGTTTATCGTAGTAGGATTCGGACTCTTCCAGGAAGATGTTTTCTCTTTTTGCCTGCACTTTAATTGGCTATAAGCGGATTAGGAATTGTGATTGTGAATGTGAGGATTGTGAATTGGATTATTATGTCATGTGAAACAAATTATACAATTGTATGTATTGATGTATAACGCACAGTGCACATAAATATTTATTTCCTGGTGTGGCATTTAACATTTATTTTTGTATTTGCTGATTTAAAATTTCATCATATTTGTCAGGTAATTCATTTTCGTATATTTGTATATATGCAATATTGTGTATGCATATTATATTACATGCAATATTAGTCAAATTAAAAATGTCACCACATTTACTGTTTACCATCAAGTGCTGGCATACTTGCATTTCTACTACAGACTATAGCTTTAATCCCCATTGTTGTAAGGGTTAGTATGGTCCAGTAATTTTAATCCCAAAACAATACGTGCAGGCAAAAAGAGAACACCCCATTTGTGTATCGTAGTAAGATTCCGACTCTACCTGGAACATGAGTTTGTGAATCATTGCAAGATTACGACTCTACCTGGAACATGAGTTTGTGAATCATTGCAAGATTACGACTCTACCTGGAACATGAGTTTGTGAATCATTGCAAGATTACGACTCTACCTGGAACATGAGTTTGTGAATCATTGCTAGATTACGACTCTACCTGGAACATGTGTTTGTGAATCATTGCTAGATTACGACTCTACCTGGAACATGAGTTTATGAATCATTGCTAGATTACGACTATACCAGGGGCATTGTTATTTCGCCGTGGCAATCACCATGTTGGATGTCTTGGCTTTAAAACGAGGTCACATCCGTCATTCAAACCCTGACTACGAGTACCAGCGTGTAGAATGATTCAACGTCTACCGTTACCTGACGGTAACGACGTAGTCTTGGACCATCTGACGGATATATTTGTTCCACCATGTCTCGTCAAGACAGACCATTTGGAAACCAAAGTGAGGATATTCCTCCGTTAGAAGAGGTCATGATTATAATGGAACTTTTTCCTGTCATTCCCCATTTGGTGTAACAGAGCCCCATTTCAACCAAAACAACAGCAAGAGTTGCGCCGGAAACAGTGACTTGGTCTTTAATCTCTTCCCGGGTTTTCCTCCATGTACGCGGAAGTTTGTCTTACAGCCGATACACAGCACGACGTGTGACGTCATTATCAAAACTGTTGTATATGTTTTCTACTGAGTCTGGCTGTCCAGCACAGTTATTTCATTAATACCTTCATTTGAAATCGACCAAGGTACGGATGAAAGGGCTGTCGATGGTTATTCCCTGTTAGATCATCGTAACATGGCTATCGGTCAACAGGAAGCTGCCGTCTCTCAACACCAACATAAAGGTCATGGGCAGCTCTTGTAAATGACCCCTTCTCCATGGTCACTGGAATCTGAATCGACAATGAAAAGGTCCGACTGTATTCATGTGTAATTATATGCGCAGTTTCATCTGAATTTGATATTCTGTGAAATGTAGTACTGGTGAGTTCATGTTGTATTTGATACTGGAAAATCTATGTTATAACTTCTGGAGATCGAAACGACCAATCAGTTGGTAAACGAACCTGTGTTTCCTGAGTTACAACAAACCGGAAGTTCTGCACCAAAGCCACAATCGCCATCTTTGCCTCCAACAAGGCCAACCTCATTCCCAGACAGTTCCTTGGTCCGACGCCAAACGGCATCCACATGTAGTCGTGCAACTCGTGCTTGTTCTCGGGGAGGAACCTGGAACAGCCAAACAACCAGTCCATTGGCCATGGGTTGGCAATTGGCGTGATGCATGTAGAAGATAAACCGACAGTAACAGTAGGTTAAATAGATCTTAATATTATAACTTGGCACCGAGTGCTTCAGACAAAAGGTATTTAACATAGAGTTAGACCACCTCAAATGTACGAAATTGCAATTCTGATACTATTGTAGAATAAATTTTTGTTTTCAGTAAAATTTCTCATTACATCGAGTATTATTTACTCGTTATTTGAAGTTTCTGACAAAAAGCTGAAATTTTGAGTGTTTTTCTCGTTTATTCGGTTTCTTATTGAAGACTTAATTGATGTTTCAAGTTTCTTTCAATAGTGTGACTGTACATCGGGAACATATCGTAAAAATATATTCAACGCAACAAAAAATATTCAAAGCAACAAGAAAACAGGTGAAATTTCAAGTTGTTTTAAAGAATTTTAAAGTAAAGAGAAAATGATCGAAAATTGAATGAAATATTCCAAGCTACGAAAGAGTGCGCTGAAATAGTAGTCTAATGTATAAAAGTTGTTTACTGTATAAAAGTGGCCGCATAACACTTTCGTACAAACATATACTAGATAAGAGCTGCCTGAACTGCACGTAAATACCCCGAATGTCAAACAACAGTAGGTTTATATCCGCCATGACGGTCTACCAGGAGCGCTGGGAAAACGGTGCTCTCTGGCAACGCGGGGGATACAAAGGTTACCTGCTGACTGATATTTCTATACGCACAGTTAAAACAGTCATGTCCGTTTTGATGTTCGAATAGAATAAGATACCCGATTGCAATCTTATTTTGACCAATCAGAATCAAACATTCTTCAAGATTACATTTACGTGTAGCATTCATGGACAGAGTGGTCTCCCTTTACCATGACACTCACTCTGTTCAATTTTCTAACCTGTCAGGGTCGAACTCTTCTGGTTGTGGCCAAAACTCGGGGTCGTGATGGATGGCGTAGACGGGGATGAAGACTGGGAGGCCGGCGGGGATGTGGTAGCCGTTTATGGTGGTGTCCTTGGCTCCAACTCGCTTTGTTCTGAATAAAAGAATCAATCAGAGAAATGGAACCTCCGTTACCGTTTGACGATTATCCGAATCTGATAACACACGTCCAACTGGATACCGCGAAGCTGTTAAACGCATCCTATCGATAAAGGCGCCATTGTCCATAAGAATAGTTAGATGGACCAGGTTTTCTGTAGAATTACATCAGTGATAATCAGTTCCAGGAGGGTGTGGTCACTGACAGTCACACTGCTAACCTGACACTTAATAATATAGCAGAGTAGCCTCAAGTGTTCGCCTGTCACGCCAGGGGCTCCAGTTCACTTCCCCACATTACTACAATAACTTGTGTTCTGCACCGTTTTGGCCTCAAGGATCTCTACTCACCTGGTTGCCGGTTGATAAAGTCTCACTGTCTCACCTGGGTGCCGGGGGATAGAGTCTCAGTGTCTCATCTGTTTGCCGGGGAATATTGTCTCAGTGTTTCCACGCTCTCTACTCACCTGGTTGCCGGTTGATAAAGTCTCAGTGTCTTACCTGGTTGCCGGGGGATAGAGTCTCAGTGTCTCATCTGGTTGCCGGGGAATATTGTCTCAGTGTTTCCACGCTCTCTACTCACCTGGTTGCCGGTTGATAAAGTCTCAGTGTCTCATCTGGTTGCCGGGGAATATTGTCTCAGTGTTTCCACGCTCTCTACTCACCTGGTTGCCGGTTGATAAAGTCTCACTGTCTCACCTGGTTGCCGGGGATAGAGTCTCAGTGTCTCATCTGTTTGCCGGTTGAATATTGTCTCAGTGTTTCCACGCTCTCTACTCACCTGGTTGCCGGTTGATAAAGTCTCAGTGTCTCACCTGGTTGCCGGGGGATAGAGTCTCAGTGTCTCATCTGGTTGCCGGGGAATATTGTCTCAGTGTTTCCACGCTCTCTACTCACCTGGTTGCCGGTTGATAAAGTCTCAGTGTCTTACCTGGTTGCCGGGGGATAGAGTCTCAGTGTCTCATCTGTTTGCCGGGGAATATTGTCTCAGTGTTTCCACGCTCTCTACTCACCTGGTTGCCGGTTGATAAAGTCTCAGTGTCTTACCTGGTTGCCGGGGGATAGAGTCTCAGTGTCTCATCTGGTTGCCGGGGAATATTGTCTCCAATATTGTCTCCACGACCTCTACTCACCTGGCTGCCGGGGAATACAGTCTCAGTGACTCAACGATCTGTACTCACCTCGTTTCCAGGGGTTACAACCTCAGTGTCTCATCTTGTTGCCGGGGGGATACAGTCTCAGTGTCTCACCTGGTTGTCTCACCTGGTTGCCGGGGAATACACTCTCGGTGTCTCCACGATCTCTACTCACCTGGTTGCCGGGGAATACAGTCTCAGTGTCTCACCTGGTTGTCTCACCTGCTTGCCGTGGAATACAGTCTCAGTGTCTCACCTGATTGTCTCATCTGGTTGCCGGGGAGTAAAGTCTCAGTGTCTCACCTGGTTGCCGGGGAATACAGTCTGAGTGTCTCACCTGGTTGCCGGGGGATACAGTCTCAGTGTCCCCACGATCTCCACTGACCTGGTTGCCGGGGAATACAGTCTCAGTGTCTCACTTGGTTGTCTCTCCTGGTTGCCTGGGGATACAGTCTCAGTGTCTCCTCGATCTCCACTGACTTGGTTGCCGGGGAATAAAGTCTCAGTGTCTTACCTGGTTGTCTCACCTGGTTGCCGGGGGATACAGTCTCAGTGTCTCCACGATCTCTACCCACCTGGTTGCCGGGGAATAAAGTCTCAGCACTTCTAGGATTTCTACTCACCTGGTTGCCTGGAAACAGTCTCAGAATCTCTACGACCTCAACTCACCTGGTTGCCGGGGGGATACAGTCTCAGAGTCTCACCTGGTTGCCGGGGGATAAATTCTCAGGGTTTCCATGAACACGTTCTCCAGGTACTGCAACTTCGTCACCTCGGCGTATGTAGGCTTCCTCTGTGCAGAAACATACACATGGAATCAGAACTGGCATTCACCGTCTTTTAGTCCTGGTTGAACACAACCATTAGAAAGAAGGAAAAGTCCATATTGGTTTGTGCCGCTAAGGTTCTTGAAGCGTATGTTCTAGTGTATTATATACTGTCAGGAATTTGCGCAGGTGAAACTCCACTTCACTCCAAGATGACAGACACCCCATTTGTCAGACCACCCAATCAACAGACAGACCAGTAAAGTGTGACCAGTATAACTGCCTGGTCTTAGCTACTAATTAATGAGCTACCCCCAGCTGTGGGCAGAATAAATTACTCAAAATGGTTGAAAACCCGTATTATGATAACTTTTATAAGTTGTGTTTGATCTGTGTCTGGCTGCGTGTGTTTTATTGGCGAAGGAAGACTCCAGCGCTGGATACAAGGAGCATCTATACACCCCCTTCTTCCTCTTGCTCACTGAGTGGGGCGGTGAGGTGGCCCAGTAGTAAAAGAGTTGGCTCGTCACGCCGAAGACCAGGGTTCGATTCCCCATGGGTACAATATGTGAAGCCCATTTCTGGTGTCCCCCGCGGTGATATTGCCGGAATATTGCTAAAAGCGGCGTAAAAGTGTACTCACTCACTCACTCACTCACTCACTCACAGATATAAGGAGATTTGGATGGCAAAGCCCAAATACATGGCCCGTTTGGAATCATCATCACACAGTAGGACCTAGGACAACACCACTCTGGAGGGTTTTCAGGCTTGTATCATCTTCAGTTTCCACATTAGCATCCCAAATGTACAGATTCGTGGCAGGGACAAGTTGGAAGGTGCGAAACCGACACAAATAAACTTTTATTGGCGATTGTTTATTGTGAATATAGTGTCTTTTGCAGACAAGAAAAGCCTTTAAAGTGCAACGTTGGAGGCACCAAAGTAAATTATGAAATCTAGTGAGATGGACGTGAGATGATTTGAGGGGTGAAGCTGATTTCAAGATGACCACACCTCCCTCTATTAGAGACTTGCCTCTGTTAGACATCGGTACTCGCATTACGGTGTTCATTACGAGTTCGCACAGTGATTACTAAGACGGTGCAACCCGTACCCTCGGCGCTCAGCACTCGCGGTACTGATCCTGAACACGCCGATTCTAGCAAACCAGTCGTCCCTTCGCTAAATTCCAGGGAAAGCTAATGGGTATTTCTTAAATGGAATGGATTTTCCGATTCTGCAATTCGAAATTATGCACTGAACTAGTACAAGTGTGCTCTGTTAGGTGTGAAACTGTTTTGTATTGAAAGTGTATGAGTTTATCAACGTTTTAATCAGTAAAAACTCAGAATGTGTTTGAAGTAGAGATTTATAGAAAACTGGATTTCCGCATTAACTATGAAGTAAAGCAGGACAATTATTTCGGATTACCCACATGGTCACGTGGCTCCTAATTTGCTACAACTACGTTCATTGGTCATTTGGAATTGCCAAAATACAAAGAAACTAAGTATCATTGGCAGAAAGTTCACTTTGAAAAATCCAAGTGTATCTATAGAGAGAAATGTCACCTGATAGACGAATTCATTATAGGTGAGTGAGTGAGTGAGTTTAGGTTTACGTCGCACTCAGCAATATTCCAGCTATATGGCGGCAGTCTGTAAATAATCGAGTCTGGACCAGACAATCAAGTGATCAACAGCATTAGCATCGATCTGCGCAATTGGGAACCAATGACATGTGTCAACCCAGTCAGCGAGCCTGACCACCCGATCCCGTTAGGCTCGTAATTTGATAAATCTTGTAAATAATTCAAAGCGTGAAATTCTGGTAATTACTTCAAAATGTGTGATATGTTCAAAAGTTCAGTGTATAGTTTGTATGCATTGTCTTCCTTTTAATGTGAAAATGTTACATCTATACTCTCCATAAATGATAACATTTCTATTGTGTATGTGATAACAGTTGAATACAGTTGAATAAATATATACTTCAATATATAATTATATATAATTATATATAAATAAATAATTCAAAATGTGTGACTTGTGGTGACAACTTAAAAAATGTGTGACTTGTGGTGAAAACTTCCAAAATGTGTGATTTGTGGTGAAAACTTCCAAAATGTGTGATTTGTGATGAAAAATGCTAAAATGTGTGATTTCTGGTGAAAACTTCCAAGATGTGTGATTTCTGGTGAAAACTTCCAAAATGTGTGATTTCTGGTGAAAACTTTCAAAATGTATGATTTCTGGTGAAAACTTCCAAAATGGGTGATTTCTGGTGAAAACTTCCAAAATGGGTGATTTCTGGTGAAAACTGCTATAATGGGTGATTTGTGGTGAAAACTGCCAAAATATTATTTCTGGTGAAAACGTCCAAAATGTGTGATTTCTACATGTGCATGTCACCATGTGCCGGATTATCGACTCGGGTGTGCTTACCTTCCCTATGTGTGTCATTATCGACTGGTACAGCCTCTCCTGGATCTCGGGATGGGTGGCCAGGTTGTAGACGGTGAAGGTCAAAGCGTTGGAGGAGGTGTCGTAGCCGGCGAGGAGGAAGATGTGAGAGTTGCAGAATATCTCGTAGTTCGTCAGACCTTAGAAAGGAAAATCTCTCTACGGTAATTTTTTCTATAACCCCGATGTCTTCACAGCAATTTGTGGTTTGCTTCTATTTAACGCTCTATGGTGGTAGTCTCTAAATAATCTGGAGTCTGGAGCTGACAATCTAGTGATTGACATCAGTAACATCGACAAACATGAACCAAATAAGCAAGCCTGACCACCAATTCCCGTTAGTCGCCTCTAAAGGCAAGCATGGGTAGCTGAAGATCAATTCTAACCCGGATCTTCACGGGAGACATGCATGGGTTGCTGAAGACCAATTCTAACCCGGATCTTCACGGGAGACAAGCATGGGTTGCTGAAGACCAATTCTAACCCGGATCTTCACGGGAGACATGCATGGGTTGCTGAAGACCAATTCTAACCCGGATCTTCACTGGAGACATGCATGGGTTGCTGAAGACCAATTCTAACCCGGATCTTCACGGGAGACACGCATGGGTTGCTGAAGACCAATTCTAACCCGGATCTTCACGGGAGACATGCATGGGTTGCTGAAGACCAATTCTAACCCGGATCTTCACGGGAGACACGCATGGGTTGCTGAAGACCAATTCTAACCCGGATCTTCACGGGAGACATGCATGGGTTGCTGAAGACCAATTCTAACCCGGATCTTCACAGATCCAACAGTCAGTCAATCAGGCAATGTATAAATACTCAACAACAAACCAGTTAAGGGCCACCCCGATAATCAATATTTAAGTATTATATGGATCATAATATGAACTATTAAATACTTTAATATTGAAAATGGGGTTGGTCCTGAACTGTTTTGTTGAGTATATAACAACCAATCAACTGGTGATACAACAGTCAACTAGAGAGAAGTTTACATTAAGCGCACAATACGATGTTTCTTACTCGTTGTCAAATATCAGTTATACCACAGAAGCTGTACCCCTACGTAGCTCACCATTTGGACATTTTGAATATTTTTATAAATAGACTATCCTATGATTGAGTGTTCGAATCCCATGTTAACACTGATTATGATCCTGGTTTTGTCAGTAGGTGAGGAGTGAGTGAGGCCTGCACTATTTCTGGACTTCCTCCCTCATGAATCTAACACTGGGATATAACTGAAATAGGAATCGGTGATAAGGGACATATAAGCGATAATACCTTTTAGTATTCATAAAAAAATCTTTGCTAAAAGCAGAATGGACTGTACGATTCCAATCATCAGGAGCACGTGTCTATGAATCCCTATCCAAGAGTAATGATATCGGGACTTCCCAGCACCCACACGTACATACCTCGCTTCTTGTAGTACTTGAAGTCCAACACTGTCTCCGTGTCCTCGTCCGAGTCGTCATCCACGTCTCCAGCCGACTCCTCTTTATGGGCGTCCAGCATCGCTTGTAGAATGTCACGGTGACCCTGATATGACATGGGCATGAATCAAAGAATAATTGAGTCGGAGATAGGGTAATCGTAAGCCAAACCTTAGTAGAACGTCAGCCCTTTCAACGAGTGAGTGAGTTTAGTTTTACGCAGCAGTCAGCAATATTCCAGCTATATGATGGCGGTCTGGAAATAATCGAGGCTGGACCAGATCAACAGCATGAACATCGATCTGCACAATTGGAATACGATGACATGTATCAACCCAGTCAGCGAGCTTGGCCACCCTATCCCGTTAGTCGCCTCTTACGACAAGCATGGGTTACTGAAGATGAATTCTAACCCGGATCTTCACAGGTCCCTTTCAACGACTGTGCCGGAGACATTTTCCGGATAGATTGTACGTTTCGTACATAATACAGCATACTGCCTATTCAGACAACGATTCTAACGCTAGCTCCCAATCTTCGATCTTAGCGCTACAGAGTTCCAAACTCCCTTACAACGATCTTAGCGCTACGGAGATCTTCACACACACAGTCATCTTCAGTATACTCTAGTACAGATTCATGTCAGCCGTCTTCAGTATACTCTAGTACAGATTCATGACAGGCATCTTCAGTATACTCTAGTACAGATTCATGTCAGTCATCTTCAGTATACTCTAGTACAGATTCATGACAGTCATCTTCAGTATACTCTAGTACAGATTCATGACAGCCATCTTCAGTATACTCTAGTACAGATTCATGTCAGTCATCTTCAGTATACTCTAGTACAGATTCATGACAGCCATCTTCAGTATACTCTAGTACAGATTCATGTATCTTCAGTATACTCTAGTACAGATTCATGTCAGCCATCTTCAGTATACTCTATGTACAGATTCATGATTCAGTCCATCTTCAGTATACTCTAGTACAGATTCATGTCAGCCATCTTCAGTATACTCTAGTACAGATTCATGTCAGCCATCTTCAGTATACTCTAGTACAGATTCATGTCATCATCTTCAGTATACTCTAGTACAGATTCATGTCAGTCATCTTCAGTATACTCTAGTACAGTCTTCAGATTCATGACAGCCATCTTCAGTATACTCTAGTACAGATACTCTCAGATGTCAGTCTCTTCAGTATACTCTAGTACAGATTCATGTCAGTCATCTTCAGTATACATTGTAACACTGATTCATCATGTCAGTCTTCAGTATACTCTAGTACAGATTCATAACAGTCATCTTCAGTATACTTAGTACAGATTCATGAGAGCATCTTCAGTATACTCTAGTACAGATTCATGTCAGTCGATCTTCAGTTGTATCGAAACAACACTGAAAGAGCCAAGTAGAACGTACTTCCGGGTTTCCGAGTCACGGGTACATAGCAATATCTCTTGACAGGTATCAATGGAAAGTCAGACTAGGAAAGTAAGGAATGTCTGTGTTGTATCGTTGGGTTTGGATCTGTGTGAAATGTTAAACTGGGATAATACTTTGTCATGGGCAGGTTTTGCCATTGCAACCTGTCCTCCACTGTGAAGCCGTATTAGTTTTTCTCGCTATATATATCCCGTATCAACGGAAGAGTGAGTGAGTGAGTGTGGTTTGACACCGAATTTAGCAATATTCCAGCAATATCACGGCGGAAGAACATACATAGAAAATATTGAATGAGAATGTTGTTTCTTCGGGTTAGGTGTGGAAGTTAAAACCTCTTGTGGTGGTATGTTTTCCTGGAAACCGGTCGTTCATTATGGAAACCCTCCTGTATTATCCGGTCGAGCATTCACCAGAATCATGGACACTGCGAAATGTGACTCACATGTGATCAGGAAGAAAACTGGGAAGGTGAGCTTCATGGCTTTCCGACAGTAGATGACGAAAATGTTCTCCGAACTGTGGCTGTCGAAGTCGATGCTGAAGCCGGTTTTGACGATGACGTCCATTGTGTAGCAGCCCATTAGGCTGAAAGGATATATGCAACCTGGATGAGGTGTGCTATTCTGAACTTATGCTCCAAGGTTAGATATTCAGATTAACCGAATGCCAGTCTGATCCATGTTCATCTAGCATGTCATGTCCTTATAGCGCTTAGATCGAATGTTTTTTTCTCTACAAACTTAACAAATACATTTCTGAAATCCTTTATGCATGTCGAAGTCAGGAAAATACAGTATCAGGTGTCTACGATACAAACATACATTAGGACGTAAGACCCTACACATGGAAAAGATTTCCATAATCAGGGTTATGATTTAGTGTGACAACTTTTATCAAGCCTTACTGTTTTAACTCGACATTTTTCTTCTCCTTAGCGTGTTTATCCACGTTCTGTACAAGTAGGTCGGTGCAGTCCTCTATCAGTACCATCATCTGTACACAACAACAAGAGTCCAGATTTTATTTTTAGTATCATTTTGGTGTGGGAGTTTTCTCTAAATATGTAAATATATATTTGATTGATTGGGTTTACCTATATATATTTGATTGGGTTTACCTGTATATATGTACCTGATTGAGGTTACCTATATATATATACCTGGTTGGTTTTACCTATATATATGTACCTGATTGAGTTTACCTATATATATATTTACTTGATTGGTTTTACCTGATTGGTTTTACCTCTATATATTTACCTGATTAAGTTTACCTGTGTATATTTACCTGTTTAGCTGTATATATTTACCTGTTTCAGTTTACCTGTACTGAAAGTGGGACTGAGAACACATCGCATGAACTTCCAGTGCTCGTCGTAGATCTCCGCGATACAGTCCATCACGATCTTGGGCATCGGGCCGAACGTCTGAAACGTGACGCTAACATTCAGGAACGTAGTTGTTGTCGACACTGATGGGAATCTGAAGCTAATTCATCGTGCTTCTCCAATGATACCACATCTATTCACAGATAATATATGTCATGTTTCTTAAACCAATATTTTCTCACTACCACTTTCTGGCAGGGTACTTATTCTGGTCATTTGGTCTAAATGGTCGTCACAATCATCTTCGAACCTTTCGCCGCCGTGTGTTCCAGGTGGGAGCGCTGATGAAACCTCTTGGGTAAATAGTTCGCGTGTCAACCCAAATACTCCCCGAAATTTATCAAACGTGTCACATAGAGTTGTGATGTCCGTCGCCTTCATGTTTCGTGAATATTGCAAGAAACGGCGTAAAACTCACCTGACACAGTCTCAAGAAACGGCGTAAAACTCACCTGACACAGTCTCAAGAAACGGCGTAAAACTCACCTGACACAGTCTCAAGGAACGGTGTAAAACTCACCTGACACAGTGTCAAGGAACGGTGTAACACCCAACTGACACAGTGTCAAGGAACGGTTTAAAACTTACCTGGCACAGTGTCAAGGAATGGTGTAAAACGCACCTGACAGTCTCAAGGAACGGTGTAAAACATCCTTGACACAGTATCAAGGAACGGTGTAAAACTTACCTGACACAGTGTCAAGGAATGGTGTAAAACATCCTTGACACAGTATCAAGGAACGGTGTAAAACTTACCTGACACAGTGTCAAGGAACGGTGTAAAACATCCTTGACACAGTATCAAGGAACGGTGTAAAACTTACCTGACACAGTGTCAAGGAATGGTGTAAAAGATCCTTGACACAGTATCAAGGAACGGTGTAAAACTTACCTGACACAGTGTCAAGGAACGGTGTAAAACATCCTTGACACAGTATCAAGGAACGGTGTAAAACTTACCTGACACAGTGTCAAGGAATGGTGTAAAACTCGACAGTCTCAAAGAACGGTGTAAAACCCAACTGACACAGTGTCAAGGAACGATGTAAAACTTACCTGACACAGTGTCAAGGAACGGTGTAAAACTCAACTGACAGTCTCAAAGAACGGTGTAAAACCCACCTGACACAGTTTCAAGGAACGGTGTAAAACTTACCTGACACAGTGTCAAGGAACGGTGTAAAACTCACCTGACAGTCGCAAGGAACGGTGTAAAACTTACCTGACACGGTGTCAAGGAACGGTGTAAACTTACCTGACACAGTGTCAAGGAACGATGTAAAACTTACCTGGCACAGTGTCAAGGAATGGTGTAAAACTCACCTGACAGTCTCAAGGAACGGTGTAAAACCCAACTGACACAGTTTCAAGGAACGGTGTAAAACCTACCTGACACAGTGTCAAGGAACAGTGTAAACCTCACCTGAAAGTCTCAAGGAACGATGTACAACATACTTGACACAGTCTCAAGGAACGGTGTAAAACGTCCTTGACACTATCTCAAGGAACGGTGTAAAACTTACCTGACACAGTGTCAAGGAATGGTGTAGAACTCACCTGACAGTCTCAAGGAACGGTGTAAAACCCAACTGACACAGTGTCAAGGAACGATGTAAAACTTACCTGACACAGTCTCAAGGAACGGTGTAAAACTCACCTGACACAGTCTCAGGGAACGGTGTAAAACTCACCTGACACAGTCTCAAGGATCGATGTAAAACCCAACTGACACAGTTTCAAGAAACAGTGTAAAACTCACCTGACACAGTGTCAAGGAACGGTGTAAAACCCAACTGACACAGTTTCAAGGAACGGTGTAAAACTCACCTGACACAGTGTCAAGGAATGGTGTAAAACTCACCTGACACAGTCACAAGGGACGGTGTAAAACTCACCTGACAGTCTCAAGGAACGGTGTAAAACCCAACTGACACAGTTTCAAGGAACGGTGTAAAACCCACCTGACACAGTGTCAAGGAACGGTGTAAAACTCACCTGACAAGTCTCAAGGAACGGTGTAAAACCCAACTGACACAGTTTCAAGGAACGGTGTAAAACCCACCTGACACAGTCTCAAGGGACGGTGTAAAACTCACCTGACAGTCTCAAGGAACGGTGTAAAACGTCCTTGACACTGTCTCAAGGAACGGTGTAAAAGTCATCTGACACAGTCTCAAGGAACGGTGTAAAACTTACCTTACACAGTCTCAAGGAACGGTGTAGAACGTCCTTGAAACTGTCTCAAGGACCTGTGTAAATCCCACCTGACACAGTTTCAAGGAACGGTGTAAAACCCACCTGACACAATCTCCACTAACGGTGTAAAACCCACCTGACACAATCTCCACTAACTGTGTAAAACTCAACTGACAGTCTCAAGGAACGGTGTCTCATACCGTGTCTCGCCACTGCTTCTTCCAGAATGAGTGATTCTAAAGCTCCTTCCACGACAAACGGACACGACTCTGTGCATACAGTCCAATACCGGACTAGAATTAAGTTGAATTAATTGCCGTTCTCCAAGTCAGTGCATGATGTTGGTTTGTGGTAAGAATTTATTATCTCGTTGCGTGAGGTGTGTACTGTTTACTCACCGATCTGTTGACAAAGTTGGAGAACTGTTTCACACAGATTTGTTTGATCATGGTTGGATCTGAGATGAGGAGGGACGGGATGCGGCCAAGGAATATCCTGCAGCACATGTCAAGCCTTTTACAAGAAGCAGTCCATTTCGATGTTTCCGACATTGATATATAACCATATAATGCTAAACTAGTTATTACAAAATCCAAAATTCAGGCTCATCTAACCTTTTCCCCTCTAGTTTTATTTCTCTCTTTAGTCTCTTTGGATGCGAAAGATAGAACCACTTCAGCAGCACACCGCTGGCTTCCTGAAAACTCTGATCATTGTCTCCAAGAACTAGTTAAATAGTCTCTTCTTATACACCCTGTAGGGGCGGTGGGGTAGCCTGATAGGTACAGCGTCCGCTCGTCATGCTGAAGACCCGGGTTTGATTCGTGAAGTCCAAAGCGGCGTAAAACCAGACTCACTCACTCATACATCTTGTGTTGTATGATTCAATCAAACCTTGATCTAGGCCACTTATCTAAAACATGGTGATATTTACCCTACAACTCGGCCGTGTTCTTTCACCAGTCGCTGGTCGCACTTGATAAGACCCTGTGAATGAACCAATCTCATTTACGTCACAATATCATAGGTAGCTCACATACACGTGACCGTTCTTCCTGCACATGTTTGACCGCCTCTCGGTGTCCACGGAGGGCGGATAGTCGGGGTCCGATGTCCGGCCTCATGCAGACACATACACGCCATACTGATGGAACGTGACCTCAAACCCCATTTTACTACTCAACATCAACCTCTTCATATTCGTTACATATTTAATAATACTAAATCTAAAATACGTGAGGTTAAAAAACAGACACAAGTAACACACAGACATAGACACATCGCCTGTACGGAATAAAGAAGTTGTATATCCATAAAAAATAGTCCTCATTCTAAAAGTAAGTAGGGTGTTTATTTAAGAGTACTGTACCTCTGTCTGGTAGTTGGTGACCACGCCCAACAGCCCGGGATTGGGGGCGGGGATGCCCATCTTCTTGAACATCCCGTGAGTCCATGTGGCGTATCTGAGAGAAACACCAATAACATCGTAGTCGACAGACTGGCCAGCGCCACCATAACATTACGTCATCCACTCAAAGTGGGAGCTCGCCATTGCATATTAGTGAGGCAGGGGATTATTGATCACCCCAACCAACCACAACTCAAACTTCTCACCCACAACTGACCCTGTCAACCCATTTATTGCTGGCCTTGTCTACCCAATCTCTCTCGATCTTGGGGCAAGGCTGGCCAAGCCGACTCAGGCAATTCAGTGTTCTGTGCATCTTTGTGTCTCTTGGTCACCCCATCGCAAACTATGATTATCCTGATTATGGGTCTGAATACTCGTCGACCCTAAGGGACAGTTCATAACTAGGGAGTGATAATGGTGTTATGGAGTAGCATGTACAATGTGAATGGACCCCCCCCCCCCCCTAAAATTTATGTACAAAATAAGTGACCCCCTGCATGTCATGTACAAAATCAATGACACCCCCCTTCCCCTTCTTATAATTTCTAAGCATAATTTCAAACATAATTTTGTGTACAAAATTGATGACACCCCCACCCCCCAGCTCCCCAGAACAAAATGGGTGACCACCACCACGCACCATCCCACCGCCACCCACACCCTACCCCCACACCCTATAATCATCATCATCCCCCTGCCCATAAATTATGAACGGTCCCTGATGATGCTTCTGGGTGTGCCAGCACCATTCCCATGCTTGTGGGTGTCACCAAAGTCGTGAACGTCAATATAATCGTACTGTCCTCAGGATGCCGTCAATAACTGATCCCAATGAGACGCTACTTTCGTTTTTAAATCACAAGTCAGTAGCCGCAATGTTTTCCGACAGTCAAGGCATGTAGGGTCAGGGTCCCAGCTAGTAAACAAAAGCTCTAACATCACTTTCATTATTTCACTCGTGCAGTGGGCAGTCTGACACTACGTAGCGGAGACCATTTTACTCTGTGTCTTGTTGTACCTCTATGTAGGACACGATGACCTAATTGTACCGATGCCTACACTTGCACTCAATTGCCGTGGGCTGTCTGACACCAATCAGTCATTGTTTTTACTCACATATATCCAGCAGCAATAAGACATGTTATACCAACAGCGACGGCCGCTAACACCAGTAGAATGGACAGAACGTCCATGTTGTCGAAGTAGAGAGTCGACCTGCGGCCGGCGTTGATAAGCGCCTTGGTTATCCTCAGATAAGAGGCGGGTGTACACACACATTTTATACAAGGCGGATACCGCTCAGTATTGCACCATGTTGGTCAATGCTGACAGTGATTATATTTCTTAGAACGGGGTTCGAAACTTCGTTATACCGAGGAAGTCGTTGTGCACTGTTTACAATCTACCAGCAGGTTAAACACATCATCTTTGCCTGTATTAAGTTGTAACACATTGGGTTCTTTCTTCTGAAGGTGTAACCAGAGACCAAATACCGGTATATGGTCTCTGGTGTAGCATATTTAGATTGAAATACAGAAAGTGAAATCGGTTTTCCAATGACAAGGTTTGAAGCTTTTCATAGTAATGTTTACATGAGCAGCTTACGAGGGGGTTTCGAACCCCAGTTCTATCAGCACCGCGGTGTTAAACCAAAGTTTCACTAAAGTGTTAAACCAAAGTTTCGCCAAGTGTTAAACCAAAGTTTCGCCAAAGTGTTAAACCAAAGTTTCACCAAGTGTTAAACCAAAGTTTTGCCAAGTGTTAAACCAAAGTTTCGAGGAAACCACAGGTTCGCCAAAGCGTTAAACCAAAGTTTCGCAAAGTTTGAAACCAAAGTTTCGCCGAGTATTAAACCAAAGGTTCGCCAAAGTGTTAAACCAAAGTTTCACCAAGTGTTAAACCAACGTTTCACCAAGTGTTAAACCAAAGTTTCACCAAGTGTTAAACCAAAGTTTCGCCAAAGTGTTAAACCAAAGTTTCGCCAAGTGTTAAACCAAAGTTTCGCCAAGTGTTAAACCAAAGTTTCGAGGAAACCACAGGTTCGCCAAAGCGTTAAACCAAAGTTTCGCCAAGTGTTAAACCAAAGTTTCGCCGAGTATTAAACCAAAGTTTCGCCGAGTATTAAACCAAAGTTTCGAGGAAACCACAGGTTCGCCAAAGTGTTAAACCAAAGTTTCGCCAAGTGTTAAACCAAAGTTTCGCCAAAGTGTTAAACCAAAGTTTCACCAAGTGTTAAACCAAAGTTTCGCCAAGTGTTAAACCAAAGTTTCGAGGAAACCACAGGTTCGCCAAAGCGTTAAACCAAAGTTTCGCCAAGTGTTAAACCAAAGTTTCGCCGAGTATTAAACCAAAGTTTCGCCGAGTATTAAAACAAAGGTTAGCCGAGTATTAAACCAAAGGTTCGCCAAAGTGTTAAACCAACGTTTCACCAAGTGTTAAACCAACGTTTCACCAAGTGTTAAACCAAAGTTTCACCATGTGTTAAACCAAAGTTTCACCAAGTGTTAAACCAACGTTTCACCAAGTGTTAAACCAAGTTTCACCATGTGTTAAACCAAAGTTTCACCAAGTGTTAAACCAAAGTTTCGCCGAGTATTAAACCAAAGGTTCGCCGAGTATTAAACCAAAGTTTCGCCAAAGTGTTAAACCAACGTTTCACCAAGTGTTAAACCAACGTTTCGCCAAGTGTTAGACCAACGTTTCGCCAAGTGTTAAACCAACGTTTCACCAAGTGTTAAACCAACGTTTCACAAAGTGTTAAACCAACGTTTCACCAAGTGTTAAACCAACGTTTCACCATGTGCTAAACCAAAGTTTCACCAAGTGTTAAACCATCGTTTCACCAAGTGTTAAACCAAAGTTTCACCATGTGTTAAACCAAAGTTTCACCATGTGTTAAACCAAAGTTTCACCAAGTGTTAAACCAAAGTTTCGCCGAGTATTAAACCAAAGGTTCGCCGAGTATTAAACCAAAGGTTCGCCAAAGTGTTATACCAACGTTTCACCAAGTGTTAAACCAACGTTTCACCAAGTGTTAAATCAACGTTTCGCCAAGTGTTAAACCAACGTTTCGCCAAGTGTTAAACCAACGTTTCACCAAGTGTTAAACCAAAGTTTCACCATGTGTTAAACCAACGTTTCACCAAGTGTTAAACCAAAGTTTCACCAAGTGTTAAACCAAAGTTTCACCAAGTGTTAAACCAAAGTTTCACCATGTGTTAAACCAAAGTTTCACCAAGTGTTAAACGCCAGAGAATCACTCAGGGTTTTCTCCCACATTCAGCTGGCACACCGTGATGGTAGCTGGACACTGCTCATTCACGTGGACCAGTATCTAATGAATGGTTTGCTGATTTATTGACTGAAATAAGATCAATGCCATGTGTAAATGTCCTGACAGTTCAAAATATATGAAGCGGAAGGAGCTGTGCTCAACTTTACACCAGCTATACAAGCATGCCGATCTGTGTGCTGGTTGGTTGCTTTTCCTGGAGCAAAGAGTGAGTGAGTGGTTGGTGACGTAGGCTATGATGGAGCTGATATGTAGACTGTGTGCTGGGTAAACGTACATTGTACAAACGGCAATATTTTCCTGCAACGTATGTATGAAGTTAGAAAAAAACAAAAACACTGCCGACTCCCTGGGATTAGCTGGCCAGTCGGGAGCTAGAGCAAGCCACTGTCCACACACGGGGATTAGCTGGCCAGTCGGGAGCTAGAGCAAGCCACTGTCCACACACGGGGATTAGCTGGCCAGTCGGGAGCTAGAGCAAGCCACTGTCCACACACGGGGATTAGCTGGCCAGTCGGGAGCTAGAGCAAGCCACTGTCCACTCACGGGGGTTAGCTGGCCAGTCGGGAGCTAGAGCAAGCCACTGCCGACTCCCTGGGATTAGCTGGCCAGTCGGGAGCTACAGCAAGCCACTGTCCACACACGGGGATTAGCTGGCCAGTCGGGAGCTAGAGCAGGCCACTGTCCACACACGGGGATTAGCTGGCCAGTCGGGAGCTAGAGCAAGCCACTGTCCACACACGGGGATTAGCTGGCCAGTCGGGAGCTAGAGCAAGCCACTGTCCACACACGGGGATTGGCTGGCCAGTCGGGAGCTAGAGCAAGCCACTGTCCACTCACGGGGATTGGGCAACATTCTTGCCCCAACCTAGGGAATGGCACGACATATGTATAGAGAGGAATTTCACCTGCCAGAAATTTCAACCTGATTTTGAGGTTGGGAGCGTCAGCGTCTGCGAGGGTCACTTTGGCTTTGCTGAATTTGCTTTGAACACTTGGACTAGCTTTCTCAATCTAGCTAGTACAGATAATGGTGATTCGCCAGATTTGTGTGCACACATGCTCCTTGATTTGATTTGTGGTAAATCACGACATAGTCTAGATGAAGTAATTAAAGCTAGTTCGCAGTTAAAAGCTGGTAAAGCCGCAGGAATTGATGGGATTCCACCAGAATTTATTAAATATTCTTCATTTATAGCTCCTTATCTACATACTCTGTTTGTTACTATCATGGACACCGGAATGTTAACGAAATCATGGAGTACCGGTCTCTTGGTGCCACTGTATAAGAGCGGTGATTCTTCCAATCCTAACAATTATAGAGGAATTGCTCTTTTAAGTGTGATAGGTAAAGTTTTCACATCTATTTTAGAATGCAGACTGCGACAATTCGTTGAATTCAATAAACTGTTAAATGAAGGACAAGCAGGATTTCGTAAACATTATTCTACTGTTGATAATATCTTTACACTGACTGTTCTTGTACAAAAATACTTGAGAAAAACTAAACACCGCTTCTACGCGACTTTTATAGATTTCAAAAAAGCTTTCTATTTTGTAAACAGAAGAAAAATGTTACATCTTCTGTGGCAAAAAAACGGTGTCCATGGTAAGATCTATAAGGTGTTGGAGAGTATGTATTCTAATGTGTTGTCCTGAATTCGATCAGGTCGATGCGGAACACAGTCGTTCAACACTTCCTCTGGAGTTAGGCAGGGCTGTATGCTCAGTCCTTTTTTGTTTATTGTCTTTATAAATCAGCGTGTTAAAGAACTTAATGAAAGTAACAGTAATGGTATATTTGTAAATGATTGCATTGAGATAATTAGAATAGTATTGTTTGTACACGATGTAGTCCTGGTCTAAATGATAAATATGCCATTGTAAATGTGACTTCGTGTCAATATTCAAAGATTTTCGGTAGGTATTTTCTGTATAAATTTTCAAACGACTCGATCGAAATCATGTGATTCATATACCTCCTACTCAGTAATGATATTTTTCATCCTTAATCTGGATTGAATTATTATTATTTTTTATGTTTTATTCTGTCTGAAATCTAGATGAATGGATTTTGTAATGGACTTAACATTACTTCCATATTTTTAACTTGTTTATGTTCCCTCCAACCTGTACTTTAGTTAACCCAGAAGACAAAATACAAAAGAAAAGAAGGATTGGAATGAATGAAATAACACCCCAAGACTATTATGATATATATTTTGCAAGCTGTTTTAGTTCAGTATTTCGTTGTACTGGTTTTTTTTCTTTAATGAGAACATCATTAACATTAGTTTCATTTATCTGCTGTCAGTATAAATAATATTTCAGAATTCATTTCAGAATGCAATACATTTGGTAGACAGGGAATCAAATAGAAAACTTTACTTGAAATAAACCATCGCGTTTGTTCTCAAGTGTACATGCTTATACCAGGATGTAAACATATTATGCAATCCATAGACTGCCCCAACCCCCACCCAAAAGAATATTGAGCAAAGGTCTAAGCGTAAAATACAGTGCGAAACGAAGATGACTGGTTTTAAGAAGTCATATATAACAAGTCCTGAGATTTGTATGAGATTTGTATATTGTCATAATTTACACTTCCGATCTGGATGTTCATGAAATCTACAACTGTAAAACTTTATTTTCTTCTTTCAGCTGAACAAGTAATTTGGAAATTCTAAACACAGTCAAAATCTGTGCTTATGTGCTCCTGAAACGTAACTTAAGCAGAAGTACGGATAAGCTGGGTAAAATACGCAAATATTTATATGTGAAAACTCAATTACTCTATTGCGTACAAGTACACTTGGTCTTTTGTAAATACTCAATAAATTTGATCTTACAGGCGTACACACAAAAATGTGAAATCTTAGCTTGCGTACCGGTGAATTGTTCATGTAATTTATAAAAAAATAAAACTGATATCAACTATCCTTGCATGGTTGGCGAATGTTGTTACCTCCCTTTGTCCAGTGACTGACGTGCACATACTCTCAGGCAGTGTTCGTTAAGTGACAGCGATGCCTATACGACTACCATTACTGATTTTACGGCGCTGTTAGGAGTACCTTACCATGTGACTCTTGAATTATGGCGTCCAAGCAACGGGTCAAAGGATTCATCAGCTCCAAAAGTTCAAACAAACACTTTATTGACGAACAGACAAGGTCAGGAATCCGAACAAACAGTGAGTAGTATTATAAACAGTCTTATTGAAAATGTACACTGCGAGGAACATGGCAGGAAAAGAGGACATAGCGAGAATACTGAGACAATGGCCGAAAGGAAAAGCAACTTCCCATGGTTTCAGCTTTCCAACGAAGAAGGCCAGGGATGTTTATGAATTGTAGCATATGTCGCAAGGGCCCGTCACCCTGTAATGTATTGATTGGTTGAACTTTGTAGTGAAGATATTCATGTTATTCACGTGCATGGGCTTGCCACATGGCTGGGTTAGAGATTACTTTAGGGTAGAGTATAAATATAAGCGAGCGCTATGTGACGTCACTCGGCGGCCATCTTCCAACCTAGTGATGTACCTCTAATGTTTCTCTTGGGGCGATTAAAGTGTGTGAAACAAGAAGATGTTGTATGGTGACACACACACACACACACACCGTCTTTTTGTCATCATTCTATGACTAAGAGTAAGACTCTATGTTGTTTTTTGTGTGTGGAAAGCATACCCTAACCCCAAATCTAACCCTACACCTAACAATGCTGAATGTAAACCCTAAACCCTTACCCCTAGAAATTTTCATAATAAATAGAATACGTTTCCGGGATGGTAAGAGGGTAAGACTTCAGCGCATATTCCCCAAATTTTAACGATGAGGCAAAATTTCTTTGAGTGGCATTTGTAGAAGTTATATACAATGCCGTCCGGTGATTCCGCGCACCTAAGCACATCGATCGCAACACAGCAACTAACGTCTCTTATTTTTTATGGTTTATGTGTCTAAACACGCTGGCATGCATCTACCTAGAAATATAAGTTTTATTGACGACTATAAGATTCTAACGTTGCATTATGCCATACGGTTGACCTAACCGGCATTCTGACAACATCGCTTGCCGTCCTGTAAATCTGCGCAGCCACTGATGCACATAACATCCGGCTAGAAATCCGAAGTATGGAAGCATATTAGGGCAAGATTATGTTCAATAATGACTTCATCAATGTAAGGAAGATTGTTTCATATTAAATCCAATTATGAATAATGAAGAACAAGTTTTAAAAGTCTGAAGAAAACAAATTTTCCTAAAACTGTCAATTTATCTGTCAATTACTGTTATTTACTTACCTTTAGTGATTAAAAGCCCGTCCCTTCTAGAAATGCCCCTATTTCAAGCGTCAATGTGGTAGCAGACGATGTTTACCTAGTTAAGGAAGTACGCTATTGCAGCTGAGCAGAATTACCAGACGCGCGGAATTACCAGACTCGCTTGTACATGTATGTCTTTCAGTATGTTCAGATACAAGTAAAAGAAACATTTTAAAACTCATCCTTATCAGATGAGGTATATATACTGAACCGCAAAAGAAACGCAAGTTTATTAAGAAATGTGAATATTTCTGAATCTGTGGAACAAACAATCTTAACACTACGAAAAAACAACAGACAAGTGATTGTTGAAGAAATGAGTCATGGTCTCTGGTGAAAACAACACTCAAGTTTACTGTAAAAGCATATGTTATCACTTCACCCTCACACACCAAAAATGTCACGAAACAGTGTGTCAATCAGTAGCGCGTGTGACCACCATTGACTGCACTGCAGGCAGCACAACGACGTTTCATCGAGTCAACAAGTGTCTGAAAGAAGGCTTGGGGAATTTGATTCCATTCCCTGGCCAATCTGGCTTCCAAATCTCTAAGGTTTTGAGGTTGAGCAGCTGTCTGTATCCGTCTACCAATTTCATCCCATACATGCTCGATTGGTGCCATATCCGAGGACAGAGTGGGCCAGGGCAGTACAGCAATGTTGTTCCCTCTGGGGAAGTCCATAGAAACCCGTGCAGTGTGAGGACGAGCATTGTCCTGCTGGAACGTCTGGAGCTGAGGTTGGGCCTGGAAGAGCGGTACAACGTGGTGTTGAAAGACCTGGTCTCTGTAGACTACAGCAGTCACATCGCTGATTAAACACGTGTAAACGTGTACTGTGGTGGTAGCTGAAGCCACCCCGTTACCATGAGTCTTCCACCTCCCCAGAGGTCAGCTTCCACAACACAACAGTTGGCGTAACGTTCATTACGTCGTGTCCATACACGTTATCGGCCGTCGGCGTGGGACAAGTTGAATCTGGACTCATCAGAAAACAACACTTGTTGCCATTGTTGACGTCGCCAACGGTGGTGTTGTCACGCCCACTGTAAACGATTTTGGCAGTGACGTTGCGTCAGAATCGGTCCGACGTAAGGACGGCGACATCTCATCCCTGCTGCCCTCAGACGACGACGAACAGTGTGTGCAGAGATGTGACGTTGTGGCCCTTGAATGGTTGCAGCTGTCTGTGTTGCTCGTTGCTGTCGGTTACGTGGATGAGTAACCCGGATGTGACGATCTCGCGCTGGCGTTGTTACCCTGGGACGTCCTGAACATTACCGGTTTGACGATACCTTGCGGATAGTCTTGTGATTGTTGTCACGTGAGATCTGAAGTGCCTGGCCACTTTAGTTGGTGTGGATCCGGTCTGCAACATTCCAACGGCGATTCATCGTTGCTGTTCAGTTAGACGTGGCATGTTTTCTCTGCGTTGTCACAGTCAATTTTGTGTTCTATGGTGTTTTTTGAATGACCTGCCTTATAAAGCTTCAAACTGGAGTGAAATGCACGCATTTTTGTATGAAACACAAAAACTTCATGCAAAAAACACGAAAAACATGAAAATGATTGCGTTTTGGCGATATGGTCAAGAATCAGCGGCAACAACGGCAAAACCATCTTCGAATGCTTAGTTCTATAATGGTATACTTTGTTGTCCTAAAAGGAATGCATTTAGAACGTATGTTTTGAAAATAGTAACTTGCGTTTCTTTTGCGGTTTAGTATATATTCAGGTGATATGATTTGAATTAAATTTAAGGGGGATACTAGACTAAGGCTTAGTCTCTGAATATATATAATTTTGATAGTAACAAACAAGCCCATTTATATTGAAAAGGAGCCCTAGGTGGACCTGAGGAAATCTAGACTTGCTTTATTTAGGGCTTTAGCACTGCTGAGAGGGCTTGGCAGTAGGGAAATTAATGTGGTTCAGGGACTGAGACAGACTAGGGGGATACGGGCGGAAGTCTTTCCGCAAAATGTAAGTTCAACCATTAAAGGGCCACTGATAGCATTGTTTGAAAGAAAGAGTAACTAAGTATATGGGAAGCCTTGGGGAGAGTAGTAAGCTTGGGTTCATTACTAGTCAATCTGAATGTTGTATGAAATGGCATTATTTTGATAACAAATGAAAACATTTTAAATTTAACCATCTGCCGGGGGTAAAAAAAATTAGGACTGAAATAATGAAGTCAATGTACATCTTTATATTTTGTCTTATAATCCTAATTAGTTTATTATCATATTTGTATGCATTTTGATACTTAATAAAATGCACACAATCTGTTTATACTTAGTGAATTTATAACATGACTGTAATATCTGGACGTGTATCATATGTCACACACACCCCCTAAGTGTGATCTAGTGTATGTTGTCTGTCTCATTACCTTTTACGCTAAAAAAATGATTCTGTTGAATGCCATAACAAATAGATTAAAGCAAAATGCAAATATTAAAATTAAAACAGATTAAAGTTATAGCAACAATATCAGGCTATTACCTTGTTAGGGAAATGTATCCGTCAATATCCACATTAAGTAATGAGATGCCATTCATCTGCAGCTGACAAAGAATCCTGTTCCATGTCATGTGTCTTTTAACAGTCTAATATGCGAAAAAGTGATCTATCGTTTCAGGTTTTTCACATTGGTGTATCCCATTGGTCACCCAAGATGGCACACCTGGCAAGTAATTGCATGATGTCCGCCATGAGTTAGCCAATAATGAGCTACCAATCAAGGTTTTGGCGGTTAATCCTTTGAAGGAAGGACGTTGTTTTTTACAAAGAAACTTTACGACAGGGTGTATTCAGTATAGATCAGTGAATCTACATACATAAACACTACCTTTTGACATATTAAAAGCAATTAATCAATCAACGTGTTATCGGTTAATCCTTTGATCGATGTTTGTTTTGAAAATCAGTTGATAATTCCTCTTGCTGCACTTCCATGCGCACATTAGACCTAACTTTATAATGATGAGTATTTACTTCAGACACAAGAAATGCCAAATGGGAACCTTTGTCGGGTAATCTGAGTGGTGTTATCACTAATTATACCTGTTGTAAATTCATTAACTGACCATCAAGTGAATGATGACAAATAACATGTGTAGATTAACCACCAAACAAGGGTTACAGCAAGAAAGTAGAAATCGCTCTATTGCATGCAAGTTTGATTGTCTGGAAAAAAACTTTATGGGCCGACACTGTTTTGAAGATACGAACGGATCAAACTTCAATGTTACATAAGAAATATTTATAAACATTTGCTGTGTACTTATTTAGAAACTGTATATACAAATGTACCTAAGTACTTAAGTACAATTTCAGATTTTGTTTAGCAATGGCAAAGTGGGGTTGTTTAGTTTATGGATTCAAATATATCAAATGTTACATTTGTAAATCTGAAAATGCCTGATTCCCTCAGGTTGAGAGAGTGGCAATGCCTGTTAGGCCTCACCTCCGCTCCCGAGGATGCCTGATGCTCAGACCACTTGAGAGGTTTCTGACTCAGTTGGTCAGTCCATTGTCCCCGCAGTCTCTCCCAGTTCTTAGAATGGTGTCTCCAACCATCGAATGCCCTAACCAGCATCTCCCTGACAAACAGGGCTCAACGAGGTCAGCATCTCTACTGATCCTGACCTTCCATCAATTCGCTAATGCAGATGAGTTCAGAATTCATTTGAAAGGTGTCACATTCCAGGTGTAACCAACGCTCTGGCAGATGCCCTGCCCCAACCACACATCTTCTTCCACCAACGGAGTGGAAGCTACATCCAGCCATCTTTCGCCAGATAGACGATCCCTGGGGTCGACCCATCATAAATCTGTTCACCACAAGGCACAAAAAGCAGCTGGAGACGTTCATCTCTCGAGCCTCGGAACCTCTGGCATGGGTTTTGGACACTCTTGCAGTCAGCTGGGTTGGGTTGGATGTGTACGCCTCTAGTTCAAGTAATGGAGAAGATTCAGTCCACCAATCTCCTTCGACTGCATCTGGTAGAGCCACTCTGGCCTGCACACCAGTGGTTCGTGGCACTAACAGACCTCACAAGCAGTCCATCTCTACCTCTGCCCCCACACGAGGAGGCTTCAAGTGGAACCAGAACGGTTTGCACTGCACTTAATGACTTATGTTAAGGGGAGTTTAGTGAAGATAGGATTCTCTCACGGTGTGGCTTCAGGTATTTCCATGGCACATAGGGCCTGCACTGGGATGCTCTGACAAGCAGTGGGCTTCATTTTTAACTTACTGTAAGTCTTGGCCTCCTAGGCTTTGGTTGCTCAGGTGGCAAACTTCCTCCTTTTCCCCCAGAACAAACAAAATTTCAAAGGAACCAAAACGCCACTTACCTCTCTGCTGAGAGTTCTATGCTCGCTAAAGTTGGTGCCTCACTTTCGAGGGTCCCTGAGTTTAATGCTATCCTCAACAAGTTTGTCAGGAAGACCAGGTGAACAGGTTTCGGCCTCCATCTTAGCAGTTATCAGTGGTTCTCACCTACTTGGCAAGTGAACCATTTGAACCACTTGAAGATGTTACTCTTCATCTTGATGAAGTCGGAGTTCCTGGTGGCCTTGGCAGCGGCGACTCCACCATCCGAGATACACGCCATTGATGCAACAGGGGTCAAGTTTGGGAGGTCAGCTCATGGCAGTGTTCATTTGGGTCTTCTCATGGATTTAATAGCCAAGAACCAACTCATGTCACAGCCCCCTCAGGGAGTTCTTTATTTCTTCCCTTGCGGCTGTAAGGAATCTTCAAGATATGGAAGATCTTTCTCTGTTCCCAGTTTGGGCTTTGCATCTCTATGTAGATCATACACCCCCTGCGGCGGTCTCACAGGAGAATATTCCTTCCGACTAGCCAGACATCGGATAAGGAAATTGAGAACAGGATTGCTGGAATTGTACTCGTCTCGGTCCAACCCTAATGGGTTTCGGGCCTTTACGATAACTATGGTCTTGCATGCTAACATCTCTGTGTTGGACATCATGCGAGGCTGTTTCTGGCCTGGAGACTTTGCTAACCGCTACCTTAGGGATCTTGCAGCTCAGGATCTGGATGGACGGACTGTCCTCCCTGGGTCCCCAAGCCTTTGCTCAACACATGGGTCAGATCATGCAGATTTGACGCTTTCCAGTATCTGCTTTTGTCGTTCACTGTGTTAAGTAAACAAACTCTGTGACAGGGTATTGTGTTTACGTACATTGTGTTTTGTGGTTTACAGAGAATGGGGATTGGCATGCCTAAACTTGAGCCTATATCGTCCCTACTCTCTCAGTTAGTTCATGCAGCCTGGGACTCACATTGCCCAGACAGCCCACATAGCCCTCTGCCTGTTCTGCCATTGTCCTGTAGCAGGTAGCCCGAGGGTACGTCTGTATCTTCCATGCGGTATCTGTAATTTGGCATGGTTCATTTTATTCAGAGGTCGTGTGGGTTTGCACTGTGAATTATATCATCAGTTCATACCTCCGAGCTGTGGTATTAACATGTATTTGTTGTGGAGCAGAATAAGTTAAAAGAATAGAAAAATCAGAATAAATTGTTTATACTCACCTGCTTCACGAGTAAGTATGGCACTATCTGGCGTCCCTGTTTACTAGGGCAACCTCTGATGGTTGCTTTTCGAAGGAATGAGTTTCCAGTGCAGTGCACACAAATGACAGATAATACTATTGTCATAACACTTTTATTCAGTGGAACATAAAGTAGGTTTCTAGTGAACTAAAGGGAGAATGACAGATACTACTATTGTGATAACACTTTTATTCAGTGGAACATAAAGTAGGTTTCCAGTGAACTAAAGGGAGAATGACAGATACTAGTACTATTGTAATAACACTTTTATTCAGTGGAACATAAAGTAGGTTTCTAGTGAACTAAAGGGAGAATGACAGATACTACTATTGTGATAACACTTTTATTCAGTGGAACATAAAGTAGGTTTCTAGTGAACTAAAGGGAGAATGCAGTTGTTGAGAAGCAGGTAAGTATAAAATAATAAGAAATTACCTTGATGTTTCTATTTGAGACAGTATAGTAATATGCAGTTGATTGTACCTGATTGTTATTGTTGTATACTACTCGCACTTTGCTAAGGATCACAAAAATTCGCAACTTTACTTAAACATAGATTTATGATTTGAAATTGTATCCATTTAAAACTGGATAAATAATGATATGGATCTGATACTGGATATACTATGTGTTGACCTAATACTAATACTAAATCAACTGAATATATTGAATAGACCTTGTACTAGAACCTGAATATATTATGTACAGATCTAGTGCCTGAGACCTACTGGATATACTATGTGTTGACCTAATACTAATACTAAATCAACTGAATATATTGAACAGACCTTGTACTAGAACCTGAATATATAATGTACAGATCTAGTGCCTTAGAACTACTGGATATACTATGTGTTGACCTAATACTAATACTAAATCAACTGAATATATTGAATAGACCTTGTACTAGAACCTGAATATATTATGTACAGATCTAGTGCCTGAGACCTACTGGATATACTATGTGTTGACCTAATACTAATACTAAATCAACTGAATATATTGAATAGACCTTGTACTAGAACCTGAATATATTATGTACAGATCTAGTGCCTGAGACCTACTGGATATACTATGTGTTGACCTAATACTAATACTAAATCAACTGAATATATTGAATAGACCTTGTACTAGAACCTGAATATATTATGTACAGATCTAGTGCCTGAGACCTATTGGATATACTATGTGTTGACCTAATACTAATACTAAATCAACTGAATATATTGAATAGACCTTGTACTAGAACCTGAATATATTATGTACAGATCTAGTGCCTGAGACCTATTGGATATACTATGTGTTGACCTAATACTAATACTAAATCAACTGAATATATTGAATAGACCTTGTACTAGAACCTGAATATATTATGTACAGATCTAGTGCCTGAGACCTATTGGATATACTATGTGTTGACCTAATACTGAATCAACTGACTATATTGTATAGACCTTGTACTAGAACCTGAATATATTATGTACAGATCTAGTGCCTGAGAACTACTGGATATACTATGTGTTGACCTTATACTAAATCAACTGACTATATTGAATAGACCTTGTACTAGAACCTTAATATATTATGTACAGATCTAGTGCCTGAGACCTATTGGATATACTATGTGTTGACCTAATACTGAATCAACTGAATATATTGTATAGTACAGGGCTATACATAATGTAGCCATAACGTATAGTACAAAAATACCAACTGGATGTAATGCATAGTTTTATAACATGTACTAAACCCAACTGCACATATTTCATATCTATTACTATACTTAAACTGTATATATATTGTATAGAACTAGTATCTTGTTGTTTCTGAAACCCAACTGTTTTTCTTCAGCCTCGAGTGACGTGGCGGAGAGGGGAACCACCGCGAAAGTGAAAGAAGCTGATGGAAGTGTTGCACGTCAAGGAGGTGAGAGCAGTAGGCAGGACTGTGGTACTGGAATGTCACGCCAGTGTTAACACTTGTATCACAGATCAGGATAAGTTATTGTTGCACGTCAAGGAGGTGAGAGCAGTAGGCAGGACTGTGGTACTGGAATGTCACGCCAGTGTCAACACTTGTATCACAGATCAGGATAAGTTATTGTTCTACGTCAAGGAGGTGAGAGCAGTAGGCAGGACTGTGGTACTGGAATGTCACACCAGTGTTAACACTTGTATCACAGATCAGGATAAGTTATTGGGAAGCACTTTATTGTGAAACAGTAAATACAGTTTTTGAATAACGTGTCTTCATTGACTTGATAATGTCTTGATATTAGATCTGCACCAAATGTCACAGTGACATCACATGTGCAATATACAAGTATTTCCTGTTTTGTTTTGGTAAGCAGTGACAAGTATTTGCTTTATTGTATTGTATAGACAGTGACATCAAGTGTACAATGTACAAGTATTTGCTGTATTGTATTGTATAGACAGTGACATCATCTGTACAATGTACAAGTATTTGCTGTATTGTATAGACAGTGACATCACATGTACAATGTACAAGTATTTGCTGTATTGTATTGTATAGACAGTGACATTATGTGTACAACATACTAGTGTTGGGAATTGGTGTAAATCTCATAATTGATGATTGGTTCACTACAACCCATCAAAAATATTTGTTTAGCGTCATTTATCAAATTTTCCTGGTTATGTTTGTTAATGCACAAAAAATAAAGAAAAAACATGTAGTTCTCTCGTTTTTTTCTCGCAAATTTCACATCTTTAAAGGATGACTAGTGTGTTTGGAACAACAAATTCCTGGAGATGTTAAGGTGAATTTAATCATGACTTGGAACAAGCTTGCAGTGCTTATGCAATGTAGAGACAAAATCAACCTTTTGAAAAATATTGTATTGCAAAAAAGTGTTTCAAAATTGTTTGTGTTCGATTATGAGAAAACATGATCGATTGCTTGGTCGTTTTGTCATTGCAACCAATCTTTGATTATTTCAATTAATCGGACCACCACTACAACATACAAGTATTTCTTGTATTGTATTGATAGACAGTGACATTATGTGTACAATGTACAAGTTTCTGTTACAGAGACACAGAAAGACTCCAACGCCCACCATGACGACCTCCTTGCTGCCTGCCGTGATGGGAACATGGCCGAGGTGAAGCGTGTCCTGGATCTGGGTCAGGTGGACGTCAACTGTAGAGGAGAGTGGAGCCAGACACCGGTGATGGAGCCATCACGTTGTCGACACAGAGAGGTGGTGGAGCTGCTACTGAGTAGAGGAGCTGATGTGTCACTGGTGGACAAGGACGGTGACAACACCCTTCACTGGGCGTGTATAGTAAGACACGTGAGGACGGTGGAGTTGATACTGTCCCAGGACGTGGTGGACGTCAACTGTAGAGGAGGAGGGAGGAGCCGGACACCGGTGATGGAGGCAGCAGCAGGGTGGGGACAGAGAGATGTGGTGGAGCTGCTACTGAGCAGAGGTGCTGATTTGTCACTCATGGACAAGGACGGTGACAACACCCTTCACTGGTCTTGTGAGGGAGGAGATGTGGGGATGGTGGAGTTGATACAGTCCCAGGACGTGCTGGATGTCAACTGTAGAGAAGTCCGGAGCTGGACACCAGTGATGAGGGCTGCACTGGGGGGACACAGAGATGTGGCTGAGCACTTACTGAGTAGAGGAGCTGATGTGTCACTGGTGGACATGGAGGGTAACAACATCCTTCACTGGGCCTGTGTGGGAGCAAATGTGGGGTTGGTGGAGTTGATCCTATCGCTGAACGTGGTGGACATCAACACCAGGAATAAAAACGGGGAGGCATCAGCCAACTGGCCAAGAGTCTATAGACATCATCAGCCGATGGAACTCCTGGAGTCACGTGGTGCCCGGTGAAGGTGTTGTTGCTCACACTGACTTGTTGTGTGCCGTTCACGTAGTCGTGTTTTCACTTTAGGCTGTAGGTGGGAATTATTGTCGTGTTTCAGGAGAAATAAAACTTGATGAAAACATTTTCAGACATTTAGTCATTTGTTTTCATGTGGAGGTTTTCATGATCAGGTGAGAAGATTGTTAACGGAGTGTAAATACAGATGTTGTGAGGTTAGTATATAAACACCACGTCGTAACATGATTCTGTGTTATCATATCTCACAGAGTACTGTTTCTATTATAATCTACCGTTGAGTGGAAACAAGCTGTAAACATAGTTTCTGGCCTCTCTTGAACCCTTCTCCTGAATACACACCACTGCTTCCATTCCTGGACATGGTGGTAGACTCCCGAGAAGAATGTAGCATGCTCCCCGGTTGGTCATGTGATTCCTCTGTCTAAAGTACTGTCGGAATTAGAAAAGAAACTGTTTTTTTACATTTATATCTACAATTTAGGTAGTTAATATGTGAAATATCTGTTGAACTAAGTTCAGCCTAACTACAGTCTCAGTGGTAGGGAGATAGGAAAAGTTAAAAAAGGCTTTTACTGAGGAGATATTAGTGCTGAAATGAGCAATGCGGTTTTTTCGAGGAGACATATGGAGCAGACCATGGCTTTATGCAAATATTGTACAGCAAATGACACTTTTTGAATGTCCATTTTGAAATTAGACTTATCTTCATTATAAACGAAAACAGACGTAAAAAATACCAACTTTGATACTGAAACTATTAAGGATATAGATACCATTGAGTCTCAGTATCACTTTAAAAAGAACAGGTAGGGGGTCGTCTCAAAAGCAAAACCAAGACGGGTGTTGCTGAGGGTAGTTGGGGACAGAGATATTAACTAAAGTACTGTCGGAAATGCTAGAAAAATGCTTTTTAGCTATAATATCTTTAGAAAAGTGATCAATGTACTATGTTGTCAATATATCAACTCGCCTATAGTGTACCTAATTTTTATTTCAATTGATTTAACATTCCCATGCATTTAAAGGGCAGTTTACAGGAGAGAATTTGGTACCAAAACAACAACTTAAAAAATGTTCAGAGTTCGACAACAGAAATCTGAAATAGTCTTTACATTTATGCTAATAATACAGGTGGTGTAAAAATATAAATTAACGTTTTTCTTAAACAAATAAATTTTGAATGTTTGTGTTACTTTACTTAATTATCGTTTCTTTATTGAAGAAATATAATATAAATGTTAAGTCTTGATAAATAAGTTTCCCGTCATGCATGCACATCTTTATCACAGCGTCAACTATGGCCAACTATTTGCAGTGGATTGTTGCAAATGTTTATAAGTTTTTCTGTGCTTGAGAAAGACAGAGGTAAACCTTTCATTAGTTTAGAAAGGGTTTATTACAGAACTTGTAGAGCTGTTGGTATGTCTTACCAACAAGTTTACAATACTGTAAACAAATCAGACAAGACAGGGACCGTCTCAAAAGCAAAGCCGGGACGTAAAACCATCCTTGACAACTTTGACAAGGGAGTACTTAGACGGGCGGTCTACAAACTTTATGAGAAGAAGAATATATATATGCTAAAGCAGCTACACCAGTGACTTCGTTAAATCTTTGGCCAATGTTCACAACTAGATTAAACTGACCGAATTACATCCATATTTTTGCAAAGAAATATACTGTTGACATGCAAAACATTAATTAAAACGTTGCACATTTCTACAATCAATCGATAAGATAACACAAGTGACAGGAATCTTTCAAATATACATTAATTCGTATGTTTATTTCAAAACAAACACACATACACAGATGATCCCTTACATTTAATACGTATACAATACGTACACATATTCAACATTTTGAAGAAAACATCTATTGAGATGACCCCTCGCCCGAACGTGTGTGCTCAGGTGTCAATTTCACCTGTCGATACCGTGCATGCTGATGACGTTACACAGGCAGTTAATGTTTATATCAAATAACGTCCCACTACCTCTTATTTTTCTAAGTTTTTGGTATTTTCATCAGTAAAAACACATTTTAGGGCATGTCTCAAAATGTATTTCCTCGGTCTACATTAGGTAGATGCTTCTTAAAGTGATATTTGTTATTTAAGTAACTGTAATACCTCTGAATTTTCAATATAAGTCAAAAAGCATTTTTCTAGCATTTCCGACAGTACTTTAAGATTAGATAATCAGCAAAGACATATTCAATACACATGGAAAAGCATAAAAGATATTTGAGATGACCCCTTGTGTCTGGGCAGCACGTGCATTTCATGCCAAGTGAGTTGACGGTAATAAACTGTCTTAAATAACCTTTAACATCTTGGGGGAAAAAGATTCAACGTCAAGGAAAAGAATAGTTTGTATGGACTGCAAGAGTACTTTCAACATCGTGTACCTACATATATCCTCCATAGATTGCTTTGGTCTCTAACGTTTAAAGAATAGAAGAGGAAGAGTTGCAGCCTTTGCGCCAAGTAAGACGACGACAGCTTTGCTAACTGCAATCAGGCTGTACTTATTCTAAGTGCAGAGATCAAAGAAAGAAAGAATTTGTGACGACTATTAACTATTTCATCCTGCGAACGCCTCCAGGGACTTAGCTAGATTGGTGATCTCTCATGCATCAGTTGTCCCACCAGATGTGACCAGGCATGAGACTTCGACTTGTTCGAGTGGTTCGCCGAGACCTACATTCATTGGTGTTACTAGATGCGGCAAACTGGCAAGAGGCAGCTGTTCCTCACATTTCGATGATCTTGAATTCGGCGAGACATCAGACGTCGGAGAACTTGAGTTTACTTTCACATCTTTTCGGATGCATACCAACAGATCGATATTCCTTAAACCGTGGGTAATGGTCATAGAATGTTCTTCGAACCCACATGATTTGTTATCCCCCCGCAACGACTTTTGCGGGGGGGGGGGTATTGAAATGGACTCCGTCCGTGCGTGCGTCTGTCCATCCGTGCACGTTTGTCTTTTCCGGAGCAGAACTCTAAAACCATTCACTATTTCTTCACCAAACGTGGCACATAGATAGATCTGGCGGTGTACTAGTGCCTTTTGGTAGTTTTGGAATTCTGAATAAAATATTGTTGGCGTTTCCATGGCAACAAGTTTGAATTAGACTGAAATTGGTGGTAGTGCTCTTTTCCGGAGCAGAACTCTAAAACCGTTCAATGTGTTGTCACCAAACTTGACACATAGATATGGTGGTGTACTGGTGCCTTTTGGTAGTTTTGGATTTCTGAATAAGATATTTTTGGCGTTTCCATGGCAACAAGTTTGACTTAGACTGAAATTGGTGGTAGTGCTCCTTTCTTGAGCAGAACTTTAAAAACCTTTCGATACTCTCCTTCCACTTTTCTATATACACACCTAAATATTTGACATAATCATAACTCGTAGACATAATCATGAAGAGTATTTTGCCATGTGGGGGGATATTGATGACTTTGTCTTCTTGTTGAACAATCAAGGAAATCCCAGATGGCTCTTCCATACTTGGGACACCTCCAACAGCCCGCCCTACTGTGATGATCTCTCATGAATTGGGGGATCTCTCCGGACATCTCCAGTCCTCGGCTGCATCACCGACAAGCCATTACGGCTTACTACAGGTGAACCAACCATTCACCAGTCCATGTTCGACGAACCCCTTTCATCCCACTCATCTCTACCTATTCGTCACAGGCTACTAGATCAATGCAGCTGAAACTACCTGTCTCTTGGTATCATTCCTGAGATACACAACCTCACCTTAATATGGACTTTGACTTGATGGTGCGAGTCATGGCGACGGCTCTGAAGCAATTAGAGCAACCAGATACCTTTCCGTAACAGAATCATCAAGTCCTACCTCCGAGCTCGCTGATTTCACCAGTCAGCGTTACACGAACCCTCTCTTTCTGCCACGGGGCTCGGACTACTAACTACCGAGTGTAGCATCATAGCATTTCTTAGAGAGACGTCTGATTTCTACCTCAGTGAAAATCTGCGTCAACTCTTCCGTCCGCATTCTTATAGCCTCATTACTCTAGAAGATTCTTCACCACCACGAGTTGTGTTATCTACGTTTCGTATTCATCCCGACTGTCTTTGGTGGTAAATGTTCCTCAGCGCCTTTACGTTTCGGAGGTGGGAACTACTCATGCGGTGCTTATTGTGATTCCTAACATTATATCACAAGTGACGTTTACTTCCAGTTCGACGCTTACATCAGGAGTTACCTACGTTTAGAGCGCCGCTTGTCACTGATTCCACGTGTTTGCTCAGAGCGCCGCTTACTTCCAGTTCGGCGCTTTCTACCAGTGCACCGCTTACTTTTGAAGCGACGGTTAGATCAGGACCGTTATCTACGATTAGAGCGCCGTTTGTCCCGGATCCCACGTGTTTGGTCAGAGCGGCACTTGCTTCCAGTTCGGCGCTTTTCTAACAGTGCGCTGCTTACTTTTGAAGCGTTCCTGGTTCGGCGCTTTTCCCAGTGTTCCTGGTTTGGCGCTTTCTCCCGGTGTTCCTGGTAAGGCGCTTTCTCCCAGTGTTCCTGGTTAGGCGCTTTCTCCCAGTGTTCCTGGTTAGGCGCTTCCTCCCAGTGTTCCTGGTTAGGCGCTTTCTCCCAGTGTTCCTGGTTAGGCGCTTTCTCCCAGTGTTCCTGGTTAGGCGCTTTCTCCCAGTGTTCCTGGTTAGGCGCTTTCTCCCAGTGTTCCTGGTTTGGCGCTTTCTCCCAGTGTTCCTGGTTAGGCGCTTTCTCCCGGTGTTCCTGGTTTGGCGCTTTCTCCCAGTGTTCCTGGTTAGGCGCTTTCTCCCAGTGTTCCTGGTTAGGCGCTTTCTCCGGTGTTCCTGGTTAGGCTTTCTCCGGTGTTCCTGGTTTGGCGCTTTCTCCGGTGTTCCTGGTTAGGCGCGCTTTCTCCCGGTGTTCCTGGTTGGGCTTTCTCCGGTGTTCCTGGTTAGGCTTTCTCCCAGTGTTCCTGGTTGGCGCTTCCTCCCAGTGTTCCTGGTTAGGCGCTTTCTCCGGTGTTCCTGGTTAGGCTTTCTCCCAGTGTTCCTGGTTAGGCTTTCTCCCAGTGTTCCTGGTTTGGCTTCCTCCCAGTGTTCCTGGTTAGGCTTTCTCCCGTGTTCCTGGTTTGGCGCTTTCTCCGGTGTTCCTGGTTAGGCTTTCTCCGGTGTTCCTGGTTAGGCTTTCTCCCAGTGTTCCTGGTTTGGCGGTTCCTCCCAGTGTTCCTGGTTAGGCGCTTTCTCCCGGTGTTCCTGGTTAGGCGCTTTCTCCCAGTGTTCCTGGTTTGGCGCTTCCTCCCAGTGTTCCTGGTTAGGCGCTTTCTCCCGGTGTTCCTGGTTTGGCGCTTTCTCCCGGTGTTCCTGGTTTGGCGCTTTCTCCCGGTGTTCCTGGTTAGGCGCTTTCTCCCGGTGTTCCTGGTTAGGCGCTTTCTCCCGGTGTTCCTGGTTAGGCGCTTCCTCCCAGTGTTCCTGGTTAGGCGCTTTCTCCCGGTGTTCCTGGTTTGGCGCTTCTTCCCAGTGTTCCTGGTTAGGCGCTTTCTCCCAGTGTTCCTGGTTTGGCGCTTCCTCCTGGTGTTCCTGGTTAGGCGCTTTCTCCCGGTGTTCCTGGTTAGGCGCTTCCTCCCAGTGTTCCTGGTTAGGCGCTTTCTCCCAGTGTTCCTGGTTTGGCGCTACCTCCCAGTGTTCCTGGTTAGGCGCTTTCTCCTGGTGTTACTGGCTTGGCGCTTCCTCCTGGCGCTCCCTGTTCGGCGTTTCCTCCTGGACTCCCGGTTCGGCGCTTACTCATATTGACTTTGGTTCGGCACTTGCTCCAGGTGTTCCTGGTTCGACGCTTCATCATGGTGCTTTTAGTTCAACACTCAGAGTCTTCCTGGTTCAGCTCTTACGTACAGTATTACCGGTTCAACGCTTACTCCTAGGGTTCCTGGTTCGACGCTCACTCATGGTGCTCCAGGTTCAGCGCTGAGTCATGGTGTTCCCGGATCGGTGCTGCCTCATACTTCACTGGCTTCAGTATTGACTCATGGTACAACGCTGCCTCAGGTTTCAGCGCTTACTGCCAGGTGTCGACTTCAGCACTAGGTCCACTCAGTTCAGCTCTGGAGTTCAATGCACGGGATCCTACGTCTAGGCTTTCTGTTTAGTTCCCAACAACGTGATATTATCATCCACTGGAAGGGGGACTTAATCTTCCTCAAGTTACCAAAAACCTTATCCAGAGACGCTGCCAATTGAGTGATACATGGTCGAGGTGGGAACGTGATGGAACCAAAATTACCTGGCTTCATATCAAAATGGCTAATAAATCCCCCGACGAAGTACTACTCTGTATACGCAGGTTATCGGCAATTCTGACGAGTAGTTAAGGTGTGTCAATAACATCCATGCTACTATCCGATTGGGACGTACCATTCGAAGATAGAGACGTCTTTGAACTGGAGTAGTCGCAGGTCTCGATGACTGATTAACCGAGGATGATACTGGCGCCTCATGCCGTACGCTGACGCTACTGCTAACACAATGCATCAAAGTCAACAGGCTGACAAGTTGCCCCATCAGACACCGGATTCCAGAATACCGGTAAAATAGGTCTCGACATTGATTCTGTTGAATATAGGACAGATGAACCAGGGGAGACCTTGAGGAATGACACCCAGCCGACTGAGACACGCCCCCTTGAGGCAACAATGAATTCGCCGTTCCTGGTCGAGGATCGTCAGCGTACATTTCAGCAAGCGTACATTCGAGCGGCTATGGTTCTATTGCAAGAACAATTTCAAAACCATTTGGTATGGTTCGGTGATCAGGATCGGTTCTGCGCTCTAAGTTGGTTCGACGATCTGGATCGGATAGATGATCTGCTTCGGCTGTGTGATCTAAAGCGCTGAGTCAATCGAGACCAATGTACTCATCTATATAGTTGTCCATACAATAATGATGTACTCGACTAATGTGTTCCAATCAAACAACAGTTCAATAGGTTGAATCATTGTTCCAATCGAAATGACACTGGTCTGAAGCGTTCATCTAATCGAAAAGGGCGCACTGGGCTGAAGTGCTCATCCAGTCAAATGCGGCGCATCGATTTAATGAGTTTGACTGAACGAGAGTGTTGAACTGAAGTGAGATAATGCACTGGTCACTTCTTCCCTTTGTGAGAGCAACGCATTGGTACAAAGTGGTGAATGGACAGCAAGGTACTCTCTGAAGTACCGAACAGAATGCGTGGATTAGCAAGTAATTCGGCGAATGTTGACAGTTCAACGAACACATTCGGTTCGGTGAATACTGTAGGAGCGCCGAACTGGTATTGAAATTAATAGATGCGATGCATGGGATCGTCAGTCTAACGGTACATTCGTATAGTTGATGGACAGGCAAAGGTAAAGACCAATGTTCCCAGCAACGTTCGTAATAGAGACGAAGGTAGTAACATCGATGCTTACGAACTGTCCGGATATAGCTGTAGTGACCTCCCGAACTGAGGCCTTAAGCTATTAACCGAGTAAACGTCCTCTCCATGTTATCCAAGGGGTTCCAGCTGCCAGTCAATCGGGGATCCTCCTGTCACTTTACTCCCGGATTGAAGAAGTTATCCCAGAAGGGGATAGTGTTCGAAGCTTACATCGACGACTGTATTCAGGCACTGAACGATCATGCCCTTTGCGATACAGCTTCTTCGCCAATCAGGCTGGTTAATCAATCTGCAGAATCAAAACTAGTCCCTACGCGCCGACTTCAATTCATTGGAGCAGTGTTCGACACAGAGGTCAACAAACTGTTTGTCCCAAGGGATCGTTTCTGCAAGATACAGCGGTTGGTTTTCCTGGTACCAGTGCAACCTAGGATGCTTCGCCAATGACAGGAGCTCCTGGGCCTTTTGACGTCTGTTCAGGCATTGACCCTCAGGGGTCAACTACAACTTCGTCCCTTACACCTTTTTGTGGCAACTGACATCACAGTGGGAGATCCCTGTGCTCTGATCCCTCTACCTCTGGAGCTCCATCCTCATCTTCAGTAGTGGATGGAAGAATTGAACGTTTGCGACAGAGTCTGTTTAGAGCTATTTGTTCCGTCTCATAACCTGTATGTGGATGTGTCTCAACACGGGTGGGGAGCTCATCTTCTCAATCAACAAGTGGCAGGGCTTGGTCTACCATAGATCACGCCTGTCACATCAACATTCTGGAGTTCAGGGCGGTGATTTTGGCAATCTGGCAGGATGTCCTACGAGCAACCCTCATGGTCAGATCGGACAATGCAGCAGTGGTTTGGCATATCAACAGAATGGGGTCAACAGGGTCTCCACAGCTTCTACAGTGGACTCAACAGTTCTTGGAACTTGTGGACTTTATCAACATCATGGTATGAGCCAACCACATTCCGGGGATGAAGAATGTCATCACAGATGCCCTGTCCCAACCGAGTCGTCCTTCTCCAACGGAAAGGAAATTACATCCTCAGGTGTTTCAGACCTTCTGCCTTCCGATGACTTCTCCGACAGTAGGCCTCTTCGCCACGAGGTTCAACCATCAGCTGCTTTGGTTTGTGTCACCGATATTGGGCCTTATGGCTTGGGACCTTGATGCTCTAGCCATCCCGTGGGAAGACCTGAATGCTTTCGCGTTTCCGCCAGTGGCCCTTCTTCCTTGCATTCTAGTGAACTGTGCGGAACACGGAGGATGACTCTACATTGGTCGCGCCCTACTGACCGGCCATAAGTTGGTCCATAATTTTCAAGACCTAGCCGAACCAGATACCGTACTGCTTCTCGATCGACCTGATCTACTGGTTCATCCGCACTCCAACCAACTACAATGGTCCCTGTTGACGCTCCATCTGCACGTTTGGCGCATCTACATCAACCTTAACGGCTGAAGGTTATTCAAAGCGGGTTGCTACTGCAATTTCAACAGCGCATCATACCTCTACAAGGTCACTCTACGAGGACAAGTAGAAACGTTTTAAGCATACTGCAGAAAGACGGGCATCTCATCCCCCACTACAGCATCCCCGCAGATGGTGGCAGATTATCTTCAGCATCTCCGAACCGCCAGGGAACTCAGAGGTTCTACACTGTCTACCTACCTGGCTGCTCTTAACATGGTTATTGCAACGGCTTCGGGTGTGAAGATTTCCACTGTCCATGAACTCCAGTCTCTCCTAAGGTCTTTCAAATTGGCTGACCAATCCTGGAAGTTCCGGCCTCCAGCTTGGGATATCTCCGTTGTACTTGTTCATCTCACATCAGCTGAATATGAAGATTTCGATTATGTCTCCTTTAAGACCCCTTTCTCTTGGCCTTGGCTGCAGCTGCCCGTATCTCCGAGTTGCATGCTCTTGATGTTTCTCGGTGCGGTTTGAAACGTCTAGACATGCGAGAGTTTTCCTTGGTTTGCGGTGGGATTTCCTTGGCAAGAATCAGTTACCAGGACAGCCGGATCACACATTCACGATCCCACTGTTGTCCACTATCTTGGGCCCAGATGACACTGAAGATCTTTCCTTATGCCCAGTTTGAGCAGCTACGGATTTTCCTAGCTGCCTCTAAGGGCCACTGCAGGTTGCGTAAGAGATTATTTATCCCGTTATCCACTGCCTCCGCCTCGGAAGTCTCCGGTACTACCTTGGTGTTTTGGATGAGATCTACAATCCTGTGTGCATATGACTTATACCTTGGTGTTTTGGATGAGATCTACAATCCTGTGTGCATATGACTTATACCTTGGTGTTTTGGATGAGATCTACAATCCTGTGTGCATATGACTTATGCCTTGGTGTTTTGGATGGGATCTACAATTCTGTGTGCATATGACTTATGCCTTGGTATTTTGGATTAGATCTACAATCCTGTGTGCATATGACTTATGCCTTAGTGTTTTGGATGAGGTCTACAATCCTGTGTGCATATGACTTATGCCTTGGTGTTTTGGATGAGGTCTACAATCCTGTGTGCATATGACTTATGCCTTGGTGTTTTGGATGAGATCTACAATCCCTGTGTGCATATGACTTATGCAGACCTTCCTCCACCAATGAAGGCAGAACCCTCAGGAGACCCGGGCTTTGGCTTTCACCATGGCGCTTCAAAGGAATGTTCCCTCCAGTCCATCATGAAGGGTTGTTTTTGGAAGTCGGATACCGTCTTTGCCTCGCACCACCTTCGGAATTCCTCGGTTACAGATGTGCAAGGTCAGCATCAGTTTGGTCCTTTGGTCCTGGCGCAGCAGTTGTCATCAACCCGTGTTCACAGATAAAGCAATCCTTTCTTGATTGGTTTGCTATGTACCTAATAGAAGATATCGATGTTATCCATATCTTGGTACTTTTTTCTCTTGGGCTTAGATCATTCTCACCTATGGGAATAGGGCGTGTCAGCACTGTCATAAGTTATGACTTGATAGACTGTGAGGCAAGTCTTGTGCAACATGCAGAGATGGTCGATATTCCGCTTACTGACCTCTACTCTTTGAGCAATCACGTCAGTGAAGTGTTTCCGATTACCTGCGTGGTTTTCGAAGCATTCTCCTATCTCACCTTTGGTAAGTTAGGGAGATTGGTAATGAGTGTTAAATTAGTTGAGCAACCGGGCTATTCCCTCTTTCACCGCCGTCCAGCGTGTGTCTGTGGGGGGTAGTTTCGAAGCAGGGACTGGCCAGATTAAGGTCTTCGACTTTAATTCACTGGGGTCACCTGATAAATCGCGGGGCGGCGGGGCCTACTTGCCAAACTGCGTCCTTTTGCTTGTCAAAAGTTGCGGCTGAAAACCACATTAATTCGGGAGCGCCCACTCAGATTTTGAGACATGTCTTGAAATGTGTTTTTACAGATGAAAATATCAAAAACTTAGAAAAAATAAGGGGTAGTGGAACGTTATTTGAAACAAACATTAACTGCCTGTATTATGTCATCAGCATGCACGGTATTGACAGGTGAAATTGACACCTGAGCACACGCTCGGGTGAGGGGTCACCTCAGTAGATTTTTGTCTTCATAATGTTGAATATGTCTTCAGTCAATGAAACGATGATCATAATCATATCATCACACCAACTCTGTGTGGTTTTTTCCCTCGGTTTACGTTAGGTAGACGTTTGTTACAGTGATATTTGTTATTTAAGTAACTCTCATATCTCTTCATTTTCAGTAACAGTCAAAAAGCATTTTTCTAGCATTTCCGACAGTACTTTAGTTGTATGGGGATATGGACCATCTGATACATACATTATCTATATATTTGAGAAGTCACCTTTTCTGTATGAAATATTAGCAATCAGTTGATAGGGGACTAATGGCTGTGTCTGCTCATGTCATGTAATTAAACATCTATAAATGTGTAAATTATTGTTGTATTTAAACACATTTAATAGAACCACTGTACAGTCCGTTTGAGTCAGAAACGGACCAATGAATTGCAAATTTTATCATTGTACAAAATTGCCACATAAATATAAATAGTACACCTGTTTATCATTTACTAATACCCAACAGCTTTCTTATATTGGAAAATTTTCCGGACTCCACTAAAAAGGTTGTTTTAGAAACTATCATCATTAAAATGTTTTAATTTGTGTGATTTTGACACGACCCCCTACCTGCTTCGCATCACCCTCACAATGTTTTTGTTCCAGAACATTTGTCAGTACCATTGCTGATACTCCTAAAGCTTTTGCTGCCCGCTTACGTACACTTTAATCATCAACTGTTTCACGTCAGCATTCAACTTCATTTTTCATCAGGCATGTGTATCCTGTGCGCGATGAGATAGTGGCTGTTCCGTTTCTGCGGTTTCACCCCGCCGCGACAGATAACAACTTTTGCGTTTTCAATGATGATAGTTTCTTAAACAACCTTTTTGGTGGAGTCCGGAAAATTTTCAAATATATGAAAGCTGTTGGGTATTAGTAAATGATAAACAGGTGTACTATTTATATTTATGTGGCAATTTTGTACAATGATAAAATTTGCAATTCATCGGTCCGTTTCTGACTCAAACGGACTGGGTTTTTTTGTAGTTGCTGATCTCAGTGGTTACAGCAAATGTCCATGTTGATGATTAATATTTAAGATGGATTGTAATCAATACTTTGAATCCCTCACAGTTATTGTGTATCATCACTCAATATTATGGGACCTGGGTGAACAGTTTTGTCTGGAGCAACTAGATTTTATGTCAATATGCACCTGCATCATGCTGATATGAATAGCACTTGAGTATGATTGTTATCTTCTGTTGCATGTGATACTTTTGTCTTTTCTTAATTACAAAGGTTCTCAATGTGTAACATTACCATAACTTTCTGTGAAACTCTCAAAATAAATCAGGATTTGTTTGATTTTTAGGCTTCAATGCTTTTGTCATGTTTTGTGAGCAGTAAGCATGGTAAGTATAAAGGCAACAATGTTTTACCTGTGTGTTTCAAGAAGAACTTTCCTTTTTCCGTCGCCCACAAATGGCAAGCGTGGTTTTGGTCGTGGTCTTACTGTCTTTGGATTTTCATTTTGTTATTGAGGTAGTGCAGAGGTAGGGTCCGGAAATGTCTTGGTTTTTTTTCCATCAACAAAGTGCTGTAAATGAACTCGCATTTATTAGTCTATAGAAACGACGAAAAACAACACAGACATCTGTCTGTCCTTAACATTCCAATAACTGATTACAAGAATAACTGAATCAGTGAAAACGGGTGTAAACTGGTTATGTAAAAACTAAAAAGCACTGAAACATCTACCAAGTAAAAGATTTCTAAATTTACATTAACTTCAACATTAGTTAAGATGTTATTAAATTTTAGTTTCCATACCTTTGTGTATACGAAGAAATGTTTACCTCGGCTGTGGTCACGTGTATGTCCATGTTCAGTTGATATTTGGGGCGACCATACAAACGTATCCATCGTTGACATTTGTCAACATTTCTGGCAGGCTTGAGGGAATAAAGGTGATACCAACAGCAAGTCGTTCCGGGTACCGTGTGTCCGAGTTGCAGGCACCCCAGCTACACCTTTTCACCATGATCAAAAAGTTGACTATAGAGGTGGATTTATTTTTGAAAAGTCCGCCAGACCGCTGATGTCGGACAAAATGGTGGTCAGCTGTCAGTTGACTGCAGCGCGATACGGATGGAATAATTTGACGTTCCTCATTGGTCATGTCATTTGTGTGATTGACAGGTGGCGATACGTTAATTATGGTGACGTCATACATGTTGTGGATGACGTTGTCTACCACCAGGGAGAAGCCTACATCGTGACGTTCCAGCATCGTTAACAGAGTTGTGTCGACCTCGGTGGGGGCTTTGTGGAACTACGACCATCAGTTGACGCCTCAACTGGACTCAGATATGCAGCCCCCGTACCCGGTGAACGTAGAATTACTGTGTCGTTAACTTCTGGTGTGGGGAACGTGCACCATGGTTGAAACTATGTCAGGCTATCGACCTGAACGACGGAATTAAACATCTCGGTTTCTCTCCTGTCTTCCGTTGGATTATTCTAACCATTTTAAGTTATGGTTTATATGGACTGCTTTTGATCATGCTGAACCATGATTCCCAATTGCTGCCCCTGTGTATATGTGACCGCCTCTTTCTCATTTACCTCATCTTTCTCTATACCAAGCTCTTTTCCCTATTTCTATACCAAGCTCCTTTCCCTATTTCTATACCAAGCTCTTTTCCCTATTTCTACCCCTTTCTCTATTGCCAATACCTATTTTGATATCCAAGAACAACTATATTTCATTGGATCCTGCAGACGTAAACTGGAGACTTGTTTCACTGATCATATTCGCGTAACAACACCGATAGCTGCGTGGTTAGAGTGTTCGCTCGTCCCGCCATAAATCCCGGTTCCATTCCCAACATGGGCACAGTGTGTTGAGTTTATTTCCTATGTGCCCATTCGTGATACTGCTGGAAAACTGCTAAAATGCCGTAAAACCATATTCACTCACTCTTTCATACTCCTTGTAGCGCTCTGTCAGTTACTAAAGGTGATTAGGCAATACAGTAAATGGTCCGTTATCCGTTATCTTTTCTACTCAGACTGAATTTACCCCGTTACAAAGCGTTCCCCGATATACCTAGTCGTTGGTTACAGCTGGTTGTGCAACTTCTACTAAAAGCGCCTGTCCTACTTTCGCTGTGTATATAAGGCTACGCGTGTCTCTAGTCCGAAGCTCGTTGAGCTAAGGCAACACCAGTCGCCTCCCGCAAGCCCTGGTTGACACTATGGACGTGTTGTCACTGTTACTGGCCGTGTTTATGGTTCTCGCTTCTCTCCTACTACTGGGATACATGTGAGTACAGGGTGCAGGTTATATATCGTACCTTCAATGACCGGGAATACCCGCGAAATTCATCGACCTATCGGGATGAGAAGGTCGTGCTTCTGAACGTGTGTCCCAGAATTAAACAGCATTTCCGGGTTACATGGCAACGTCAATATGGCGTCTATATATACACCTCTGGATGTAACGATGAAACTGACCCAAGTTGGATTCTTAAGATTCGGAAAGCGATGGGGTAGCCTGGTGGTTAAAGCGTCCGCTCGTCACTCCAAAAGCCCGGGTTCGATTCCCCTACAATACGTGACGCCCATTTCCGTTGTCCTCCGCCGTGATATTGCTTGAATATTGCTAAAGGGGCGTAAAACCATACTCACTCACTCACTCAAGATCCCGCTCCTCCCTTGCATATGGTAACCCGCCCCGCCTCAACTCTCTCCATCTATCCATTTCAGCAACTAATATGCTAGTTCTAACTTGAAGTGCACATTAAACGGTGACTGTTTCAGCTACGCAACATGGACTCACGGTATGTTCCTGCAGATGGGGATCCCAGCACCTAAGCCCGGGTTACTGGGTATCGTGAGCCGCTACAAGAAAGAGGTACCACCCAATAACATGTGAAGTTCACTACAGTTAAAAATAAACTTCATTTCACTCGCGATACGACGTATGCTTAAGGTCGGAGGGAATCCCGGAGTGACTGACAGCGTATCATTTCCTCAAGACGCGGACCGTGTGCTCATCAAGTCAGCCACTGGTTACCAACCGCTATTCAGTCACTCCTAACAAATGGAAATGTAACAGAGACTTTGATCTTTATAAACTTCAAGAAGATTAGTGAGATAAACGAAAATATCAAACCCGACTTGAATTTCCTTAAAATGTTCAAAAACTTCATGATATTGGTATTGATTTACACATATTTTTATTCTCATTCAACAATGCCCGTGAAATTCCGGATTAGAATTGGTCTTCAGTAACCCATTGGTTGACACGTGTTGTCGTATCCCATTTGATAGATCGATGCTCATGCTGTTGATCACTGGAGCGTCTGTCTAGACTCAAATATTTACAGACCGCGGCCATGTTGCTGGAATATTGCTGATTGCGGCGTTAAACAACAAACCAACCAACAACTCAGCAATTGGATTCTGGTCTAAAGTTCTGTCGGAAATAGAAAAAATATGTTTTTAGTCTATTACTCTGAATCCCTAAATTCAACACAATTGCAAATAGCATACGTCGAAATAACCTACATCAGTCTAACTGGGCGTTCAGTGGGATGCGTAATAGGATATCCAGAAAAGCATGTTTACTCGTAAAATCAGGCAAAACTTAGAAAAAATACGAATAGCTGCTGAAAACAATAGATCAGACTATAGATGGCAATTGGGTCGCTCAGCCAGGTATGACGACTGACCGTCAACTCACTTGGCATGAAATGCACGTGCGATCATCTCATATATATTTTATACTTTCTCATGTGTATTGACTATGTCTCTATTGATTATCTAATCTTAGCTGATATCTCTGTCCCCCAGCCCGACCCCAACCACCCTATGCAACACCCGTCCTTTACTTTTGAGACAACCCCTCCTACCTGTCTTTTTTATAGTGATAGTGAGACTCCATGGTAGCTACATCCTTAATAGTGTCAGTATTAAAGTTATTTTTTTTTACGTCTGTTATCGTTTATAATGAAGTTTAATTTCAAAATGGGCATTTAAAAGTGTCAATTGTAACACAATATCATCGCATATTAATTTGCATGAAGCCATGGTCTGTTCTAAATAAGTCGCATTGGACTAAGAAAAAAACTGCATTGCTCATTTCTGCACCAATATCTCCTCAGTAAAGTCATTTTTTTACGTTTCCTATCTAACAACTATAAATGTGAAAAAGCAGGGTTTTTTTCTCTTTTCGACAGTACTTTAGTAAGCAATTGGCTATACTGGCATCCAGGCCCCTAAACAATGTCAACTCCCTGGCAGAACAAGCCCAGTGCCGAATACATTCAAACAGAGTGACTGAGTGAGTGAGTATGGTTTTACGCCGCTTTTTAGCAATATTCCAGCAATATCACGGCGGGGGACACCAGAAATTGGCTTCACAAATTGTACCCATGTGGGCATTCAAACAGAGACCGGCCTCGTTTTCCAGGTTTCATGTTATTGTTGACGGGAAGTCCGGGTTCGATTCCCACCAGGTTTCCCTCTGTAAAGTCCATTTGGCTGGAATTTAAGATGAGAAGCGACGTAGAACCCTTCTCATGCATGCACGCACTCACTCACTCACTCTCTGTCTTCCCCAGGGAATGGGCGGTTGTGATCAACGGCTCGTAAAGGAATATGGTCGCGTTGTGGGGTAAGTACTGTTAAACTGCATTACACATTACCATAACGACGCTTTAAGACGTCAGGATCGAATCCCATAATCAACTCCAATATACATGTAGTTCTTGACGAGCCACTCACTCACTAACTCACAGTCTTGAAAGTGTCACATGTCGCATAAACCAAGACTGATATTAACGTCGTTAGAACCCCGGTGACCTGGAAAACCGGATCCTGAACGACTGGTGTTTAGAGAGTGTATGGATACAAAGGGGCGTAACTCTGTACGTCAAACTGTCCAACAACACTTCACGTGGTCACGTTTTCAAGTCAATGTTTCAGCGTGTTCCACGGCAGAATCCCATCCCTCGTCATTTCAGACCCCGCCATGATTAAACAGATTTGTGTGAAGGACTTCTCCAACTTTGTCAACAGATCGGTAAGTTCTCTCAGATCGGGGTGGTGGATGTTGGAGTGGACCAGTAGTGGAGGGATGACCCGGAAGTGAGTTCTACGAGATCCGGGTGTCTGCCCTTTAGGGTTTGAGGGATGATGAGGAAGTGATTTCTACCAGATCCGGGTGTCTGCCCTTTAGGGGTGGAGGGATGACCCAGTAGAGAGTTCTATGAGATCCGGGTGTCTGCCGTTAAGGGGTGGAGGGGTGGCACAGTAGAGAGTTCTACCAGATCCGGGTGTCTGCCCTTTAAGTGAGAGCATAACAATAAACTGTTACATATCAGGAAAACATGATGCATGATTTAAACATACACTTCGCCATGCTGTAGCAGTACTTGCTTGTTGTTGTTTCAGACGTTCGGCCCGATGCCCAAGATCGTGATGGACTGTATCGCGGAGATCTACGACGAACACTGGAAATTCATGCGATGTGTTCTCAGTCCTACATTCCGTACGTCTAAACTCAAACAGGTAAATAAGTCCACTAAGACCGTAAATATATACACGGATTGTGACATTTTAACAGGTAACAGACAGGTATTTTCCAACAAATAGATATATACAAGTCTTCCTAAACATACAAATATTCCCAGTCAGGTGAATATACACAACAGGTAAAGATATACAGTCAGATATTCTTAAAACGATATATACTTTAGTGTATTTCAAACTGATAAATATGTAGATTTTTCTCAAACAAAAAAATATGTGCAGGTATTCTTCAATACACATGAGAAAACAAGCAGGCAAACTTCACTGGTTGACGTTTGTTCTAAATGTTGTCCCATCTGGTTAAATCCACGAGAGCGAGTATGGTAATATCAAACTAGGGGTATCCGGGGAATCAGCGGATCCTGTCATCTACAAGGGATACAACTTTACTCCGCCTTTTGCACGCACACTCACACATACATACACGGAAACACGCACGCGCACGCGCACACGCACGCACACACAAGCACGAAAGCACACATACCTACCGAGCAGTAATGACTTTATTAATTCGTATTTGAAAGTCGAGATCTGTAAAAACAGAAGTTTTATGACACATAAGTTGGAAGAGCATCCGGCTTACCTGATCGTGCGTGATGTCTTTCTGACCATGTTGTGTTGGGTGTCTCCAGATGATGACGTTGATTGAGAGATGTTCCGACCTGATGGTGAAAAACATGGATATAGAAGCAAAGAAGAAGAAAAGCGTGGATATGAGACAGTAAGACTCAATAACAATTGACATGCCAGCATCTGATTGGTCACTTGATGAATTCTTGACTACAACCTCGTGAGAATTATACGATTTAAAGAAAGTCCAAACCCTTTGCGAAAATATTGCAAACTTTCTTAATCACCTGCCACAATGCGATCATTTAGACATTTTGACTCACTTGCTGCTGCAGTTTTATGGGATGCTACACCATGGACGTCATCGCCAACACCGGCTTCAGCATCGACCTCGACAGTCAGTCCGACCCCGACAATGTCTTCGTCACCTATTGCCGGAAGGCTTTTAAACTGACCTTTCCCATAATCTTCCTGTTGACACGTAAGTACGCTTAAAGGACGCCATCTCAAAGTATGAATACACAGGTATAAACGTACCAAGCTGTTTGGAGCTGATCCAGAAAGTTTCTTGCAACGATTTGTAACTGTGCATGGAACTTTAATATACAACTTCAAGAACTAAGAGTCTAAGCAAGGATCTACAAGTACCTGATTACTGCAAGTCGCTGAAGTTTGCCCAATTTTCCAAAGGTCGGAGATCTCACTTGTTCAGGTTGTTCAGTTTTGGTATTTTAATGGACATGCGTCCATGACATCAAATAATGACGACAGATTTCCCTTTTTTCGACCTTTCCTTCTCTGTAAGGCTTACAACGTCCTAATCAACCCTTGCATCACAGAATGGCACACACATGTTTTCCTAGTAAATGAGCCCCTGTCGTGTTCCTTTATTTTGTACTGTGAGTATAGTAGGAAGGTATGGATCACCAGTATTCTATGGCGTCGTTACAGCCAATAGTGACGATGGCTTGGTGAGGCACGGTCAGTTGGCCGAATGTGTGACACCTATTACCTATTGACTCCGGCACCTGTTGGAAGTGCCGGTACTATTGTATTGCTCACAGATGCCTGTCTTAAACATTATGTGTCTCAGTAAGTTAATGCTGTTCCTGTTGCCTGTCATCAATATGATCTGTCTCAGTAACTTAATGATGTTTCTAAAACCGAATTTCAGTGTTGTTTCCCTTCACCAAGTCCATCTTTGGGAAGATTGACTTCCAGGTTTTGGATTTCGACAAAGACAAGGCCAAGTTCCGTGAGGTGGTGAAACAGGTGATCGAGGACAGGAAGGACAACCCGGACCCGGTGAGCTACCACGAACACCTCTAACTCGAACACCTCTCACTCGAACACCCTCTAACTCGAACACCTCTAAGTCGAACACCTCTGACTCGATTTCTTCTAGCTCCAACGCCTATATTTCTGACTCCCCCCAACTAAAAATCCCACTACACTACTCCCTCCAGCATAAACAACTCCAACTCGCATACAAACTCAAACTTCTGTAACCCGAAAACCTTTGGAATATTTCGGTATTTCGGTTTTGAGAAATGATAGGAACACGATTTGTTTGGGTGGCATTTTAGAAGTTGGGAAGCACTTTATTATCAAATTGTATGGATAGCAATTTCTGTTTCTTTGTAAAATGATATTTTTTTGTAAAGGAATTGTTATCCATAAAGTTTCTTAAAATTAAATTTACCCCCCCCCCTCTTTAGATTTAACACCCTCAAGTATCGAGTGGCAGACGCGACGATCCTGATGATATTCACTCTTCCGAAAAAAAGAAAGAAGCGCCCAGGCCAAAAAAAGGAGATGCATTAAACGTATTTATTGTTCATAAGTCGATTAAGCTTGAACACAGATGAAGGAAATTCGACACACGGATGGACATATGTATTGTTGTCATTAACAGCATATATTCAGTTCACTCACTGCACCGCCCGGAGAGCGGAAGGTCGCGGGTTCGATCCCCCCCCGACCGCGTCATACCAAAAGACGTTAAAATATGGTACTTGTTGATCCCTGCCTGGCGCTCGGCATTAATGGGTACAACAAGGACTGGTCGGCTCGGAGTCAGTATAATGTGTCTGAGTGGGGTATTCATGCTTCACTGCGGCATGGTATCTCAGTGAGCTAGCACAATAAAACCAGCTTAAGTCTGGGCTAGTACAAGAAGCCGCACATACACATACACACGCATAAGAAGCCGCACATACACATACACACGCATGCACGTCGTCATATGAGCGAAATATTCTCAAGCACGACGTTAAACCCAATTTCACCTCACCTCACTCACTGCACATGTGTGGACACAAGGGGGTTAGCACTTGGTGACACCCCCTTGCAGCCGGCGCTGCTCGACACTGCCTTGGAGGGGATTCCACAAGTCGTCGGATTTTAGCATGGGGAATTCTGCGCCATTCCATTGGCCAGTTCTGCAAGTGTCTGAGGATTGTGGTAACGTTTCCGGACGTTTCGTAATTAATCGCTGGACCAAACGCTTGCCATGCGTTCCCCAGGTTCCATGCCTGTACCCTGTTGTACCATTGGACACGTGGTTGTCGGTGTAGTCGTCTCGGGACAGGTCCAACTTTTGGTCCATATGCTCGAATTCCCGCTTCTCTCTGACGATTTCTGATGGTTTGGTCCGAAATTCATCGAAGACAAGGCACCAGCCCTACAGTGCCCGTTGCTGTAGCAAATATATAAGTGAAACCCCGATGAATCGGGTCAAGAGCAGAAGTAGTTACTCTTGTTCTTCCACTTTGGGGACGATCTTGGGTCGAATTGAAGCGGGTATATCGATGCCATAATCGAGATACGGTGATGTGGTGGACGTTGAAGTGACTTGCAACGGCAGACTGTGACTTCCCTGCTCCCAAACGTCCAGTGGCGATATTTCGGCCAGTAGCATTCAATCTTGGCATTTTTTTTATCTCCGGTTACGTCGTAAATTTCGTAATGAAATGATGAATTTGGTTTGGTTCTTTTATAGTGCATGTCTCTACTCATGTGTCAGACACATTGCAGGTGCATTACGTGGAAAGCCTTTTCTGCTTCGCACGTTTTTAATTTTTTTATGACAAACGTTTACAAACACATTTTGGCATGCGTTTGCGCGCAATACACAAAAACCTTGATATAATTGACGGGATTCAAACATATTAATTGTCTTAATGGCAATTGCTGTTAAAATATATCGAAATGAACTGCTGAAAACGCCTAATTGCGTTTCTTTTTTGAAGAGTGTAACGTTGTTCCTGAAGGCCTCAAACTTCCTGGAACTGAATTATATGTTATTTACAAGACAAAGCAATATACACAACTGACTACAGCATGAGCCACACACTGCCGAGCAAACTGACTCCATGAGGAACATCTCTCCACAGCGCTACGGGGACATGCTACAGGCGATGTTGGACACCAACAAGGAGGGGGCAGAAAGAGACTCGGACGACGACTCCGATGACGACACCGAAACAACACTTGACTTCAAGTACTACAAGAAGCGAGGTATTCACCTATTAGTTCATTTGGCCTATATTCGTGTCATTTCGGGTCAATCCGGAAAGGCTCGACAAAGAGCGAGGTATTTACCATCAGTGCATTCACCAATACTGTGTTATTCCGGGCGGTAAAAGAAAATCTCTGCGCCAGCGAATATCAAGGCGTCCATTTGTACGACTGGCTGGTATGCTGCGTTATAAACTAGGTTTGTAAGACAACGTGTGTTTTACCAATCTTATTAAAGCAAATCTATTGCACCAAGGTAAAATCAACTCTAAGCTCACTTGGGCCGCCCAGTTTACGTAATTGTATACATTCATAAATGGCCGTTTAAGTTTGTTTTTGAAAGTAACATATATGTATTTATTAGAATGCTTGTTCACTCGCACAAAGAATTTAGAAACTTCAGCGTCCATTAGAATGTTCATTCTGTGTTGTATCCAATGTAGGGGTTATCTGATTCCTGAGATGAATCGTCACGGCAAGACAAATCTCACTGTGATTTCGTAACGTACCTGTACTGGATGACTAATGATAACCCGCCAAGCGATTTAAACTTTGGGAATACTTTCATGATTACTTCTGTCAATGTTTTGGAGCCTCAGTGGAGACTTGGTTAGTTGACTGTATTCTCAGTGGAGACGTGGTTAGTTGACTGTATTCTCAGTGGAGACGTGGTTAGTTGACTGTATTCTCAGTGGAGACTTGGTTAGTTGACTGTATTCTCAGTGGAGACGTGGTTAGTTGACTGTATTCTCAGTGGAGACGTGGTTAGTTGACTGTATTCTCAGTGGAGACGTGGCTTGTTGACTGTATTCTCAGTGGAGACGTGGTTAGTTGACTGTATTCTCAGTGGAGACTTGGTTAGTTGACTGTATTCTCAGTGGAGACGTGGTTAGTTGACTGTATTCTCAGTGGAGACTTGGTTAGTTGATTGTATTCTCAGTGGAGACTTGGTTAGTTGACTGTATTCTCAGTGGAGACGTGGTTAGTTGACTGTATTCTCAGTGGAGACGTGGTTAGTTGACTGTATTCTCAGTGGAGACGTGGTTGGTTGACTGTATTCTCAGTGGAGACCTGGTTAGTTGACTGTATTCTCAGTGAAGACGTGGTTAGTTGACTGTATTCTCAGTGGAGACGTGGTTAGTTGACTGTATTCTCAGTGGAGACGTGGTTAGTTGACTGTATTCTCAGTGGAGACTTGGTTAGTTGACTGTATTCTCAGTGGAGACGTGGTTAGTTGACTGTATTCTCAGTGGAGACGTGGTTAGTTGACTGTATTCTCAGTGGAGACGTGGTTGGTTGACTGTATTCTCAGTGGAGACCTGGTTAGTTGACTGTATTCTCAGTGAAGACGTGGTTAGTTGACTGTATTCTCAGTGGAGACGTGGTTGGTTGACTGTATTCTCAGTGGAGACTTGGTTAGTTGACTGTATTCTCAGTGGAGACGTGGTTAGTTGACTGTATTCTCAGTGGAGACGTGGTTGGTTGACTGTATTCTCAGTGGAGACCTGGTTAGTTGACTGTATTCTCAGTGAAGACGTGGTTAGTTGACTGTATTCTCAGTGGAGACGTGGTTGGTTGACTGTATTCTCAGTGGAGACTTGGTTAGTTGACTGTATTCTCAGTGGAGACGTGGTTAGTTGACTGTATTCTCAGTGGAGACGTGGTTAGTTGACTGTATTCTCAGTGGAGACCTGGTTAGTTGACTGTATTCTCAGTGAAGACGTGGTTAGTTGACTGTATTCTCAGTGGAGACGTGGTTAGTTGACTGTATTCTCAGTGGAGACTTGGTTAGTTGACTGTATTCTCAGTGGAGACTTGGTTAGTTGACTGTATTCTCAGTGGAGATGTGGTTGGTTGACTGTATTTTCAGTGGAGACGTGGTTAGTTGACTGTATTCTCAGTGGAGACGTGGTTAGTTGACTGTATTCTCAGTGCAGACGTGGTTGGTTGACTGTATTCTCAGTGGAGACGTGGTTAGTTGACTGTATTCTCAGTGGAGACTTGGTTAGTTGACTGTATTCTCAGTGGAGACTTGGTTCGTTGACTGTATTCTCAGTGGAGACTTGGTTAGTTGACTGTATTCTCAGTGGAGACTTGGTTGGTTGACTGTATTCTCAGTGGAGACTTGGTTAGTTGTCTGTACATAGTCTTAGTAGAGATTTGGTTGGTTGACTGTATTCTCAGTGGAGACCTGGTTGGTTGACTGTACATAGTCTTAGTAGAGACTTGGTTGGTTGACTGTATTCTCAGTGGAGACTTGGTTGGTTGACTGTACATAGTCTTAGTAGAGACTTGGTCTGTTGACTGTATTCTCAGTGGAGACTTGGTTAGTTGACTGTATTCTCAGTGGAGATGTGGTTAGTTCACTGTATTCTCAGTGGAGACGTGGTTAGTTCACTGTACATAGTCTTAGTAGAGACGTGGTTGGTTGACTGTATTCTCAGTGGAGACGTGGTTAGTTCACTGTACATAGTCTTAGTAGAGACTTGGTTGGTTGACTGTATTTTCAGTGGAGACTTGGTTGGTTGACTGTATTCTCAGTGGAGACTTGGTTGGTTGACTGTATTCTCAGTGGAGACGTGGTTAGTTCACTGTACATAGTCTTAGTAGAGACTTGGTTGGTTGACTGAATTTTCAGTGGAGACTTGATTGGTTGACTGTATTCTCAGTGGAGGCCTGGTTGGTTGACTGTACATAGTCTTAGTAGAGATTTGGTTGGTTGACTGTATTCTCAGTGGAGACCTGGTTGGTTGACTGTACATAGTCTTAGTAGAGACTTGGTTGGTTGACTGTATTCTCAGTGGAGACTTGGTTAGTTGACTGTACATAGTCTTAGTAGAGACTTGGTTGGTTGACTGTATTCTCAGTGGAGGCCTTGTTGGTTGACTGTACATAGTCTTAGTAGAGACTTGGTTGGTTGACTGTATTCCCAGTGGAGGCCTTGTTGGTTGACAGTATTCCCAGTGGAGGCCTGGGTGGTTGACTGTATTCCCAGTGGAGACTTGGTTGGTTGACTGTACAAAGTCTTAGTAGAGACTTGGTTGGTTGGCTGTACATAGTCTTAGTAGAGACTTGGTTGGTTGACCGTATTCTCAGTGGAGACCTGGTTGGTTGACTGTACATAGTCTCAGTAGAGACTTGGTTGGTTGACTGTATTCCCAGTGGAAACTTGGTTGGTTGACTGTAGATAGTCTTAGTAGAGACTTGGTTGGTTGACTGTATTCTCAGTGGAGACTTGGTCGGTTGACTGTACATAGTCTTAGTAGAGACTTGGTTGGTTGACTGTACATAGTCTTAGTAGAGACTTGGTTGGTTGACTGTATTCTCAGTGAAGTCTTGATTAATTCTGGAATCTGTTTAAGGTCTGACGAACTACGAGATTTTCTGCAACTCTCACATCTTCCTCCTCGCCGGCTTCGAGACGACCTCAAGAGCTCTGACCTTCACCGCCTACAACCTGGCAACGCACCCAGAGATCCAGGAGAGGTTGTACCAGTCGATAATCAAGCAATTAGGACATGTAAGTACATTCGGGACAATAAAAATGGTGTACACATCGATACTCTAGTTGTAGGAAATGTAAGTACATTCGGGCACAGGCAAACTGTAGCGCAAATAGGGTTGCACAACAGAGAGTAAAATGACCAGTCTGCCTACATGCTTCGCTCGCTCTAATACCGCTAAAGTTTGCCTGTGATTCGGAGCAGCGAACAGAGTATAGGCCCTGCAACTCGATAATCTAGTATACAGACAATGTAAGTACATCCGGGACAGTGAAAGGTTGTACAAACCGATACTCTAGTACATGGGAAATCTAAGTACATCCGGGACAGCGAAACGGGTGTACAAATCGATAATATGGTATATAGGAAATGTAAACACATTCGGGATCCGAGGGAGACTATCCTAGCCTGGGCTTTTTAAGTCCCTTCAAGGGCCTATGGATGATTTATGTGTTTTAAGGATATTCTGGAGGTACATGTACATACGTATAACTCGACAGCTATCTTCATCTCACGTTTCCAATAGTGTAATACGTCTAAATGTGCAGTAAAGTCTTGTTGGTCGGTACGACTCCGGGAATCGCCTGGTGGATTCCCCATCACCATAGACTGATACTCTGTGTATGTTTCTGTACAGAGCAAGCCCACGTACGCAGAGGTGATGAAGTTGCAGTACCTGGAGAACGTGTTTATGGAAACTCTGAGACTGTATCCCCCGGCAACCAGGTGAGTAGAGATCCCGAGCCCGGTATCTAAAGACCGACTTGTATCACCGGGTATATACCTACTCTGTCGTTGTATCATTCTCTGCAAGGAAACCGTGTATTCTATCTCAGTCCACTGTCACAAATTGAGTCTTCCAGGAACACCCGAGTTGCAGCCAAGAGTACCACCATCAACGGCTACAACATCCCCGCCGGCATGCCTGTCATCATCCCCGTTTACGCAATTCAGCATGACCCTGAGTTCTGGGCCGAACCGGAAAAATTCGACCCCGATAGGTATGCGATCAAGACACTATTATATATCTACACCCAGTGATCAAGACACTATTATATATCTACACCCAGTGATCAAGACACTATTATATATCTACACCCAGTGATCAAGACACTATTATATATCTACACCCAGTGATCAAGACACTATTTTATATCTACACCCAGTGATCAAGACACTATTATATATCTACACCCAGTGATCAAGACACTATTATATATCTACACCCAGCGATTAAGACACTATTATATATCTACACCCAGTGATCAAGACACTATTATATATCTACACCCAGTGATCAAGACACTATTATATATCTACACCCAGTGATCAAGACACTATTATATATCTACACCCAGCGATCAAGACACTATTATATATCTACACCCAGTGATCAAGATCAAGACACTATTATATATCTACACCCAGTGATCAAGACACTATTATATATCTACACCCAGTGATCAAGACACTATTATATATCTACACCCAGTGATCAAGACACTATTATATATCTACACCCAGTGATCAAGACACTATTATATATCTACACCCAGTGATCAAGACACTATTATATATCTACACCCAGTGATCAAGACACTATTATATATCTACACCCAGTGATCAAGACACTATTATATATCTACACCCAGTGATCAAGACACTATTATATATCTACACCCAGTGATCAAGACACTATTATATATCTACACCCAGCGATCAAGACACTATTATATATCTACACCCAGCGATCAAGACACTATTATATATCTACACCCAGTGATCAAGATCAAGACACTATTATATATCTACACCCAGTGATCAAGACACTATTATATATCTACACCCAGTGATCAAGACACTATTATATATCTACACCCAGTGATCAAGACACTATTATATATCTACACCCAGTGATCAAGACACTATTATATATCTACACCCAGTGATCAAGACACTATTATATATCTACACCCAGAATTGTTCCCCCGCAGCTGCTCCAGTCTCTTCATCTTATTGTTCTCAATCTCCCCTTCTCACTTAAACGCTTCCCGTACCTCTCCACCCATCTCTCCTTCTGACTTAAGCGCTTCCCGTACCTCTCCACCCATCTCTCCTTCTCACTTAAACGCTTCCCGTACCTCTCCACCCATCTCTCCTTCTCACTTAAACGCTTCCCGTACCTCTCCACCCATCTCTCCTTCTCACTAAATGCTTCCCGTACCTCTCCACCCATCTCTCCTTCTCACTAAAACGCTTCCCGTACCACTCGACCCATCTCTTATTCTCACTAAACCACTTCCCGTATCTCTCTATCCATCTCTGCCATATCATATTTCTCCGTCTTCCCCGTCCGTCCATCCCTCTTCTCCCCATTTTTATATTTATACCATACAAAGTGTGCTAAGTATCACCACGTTGAAAATTGACACGTTGGATTGTGTACGCTGAAACGTACAAATATCACAAACGTACATCTTCGACCAAAAAGACAACTCTCATCTCTTTCTATGTGATCCACATAACGTGATCACAACCAATCATTTTAGGTTGCTTGCCGAAAGACGATTGTTGCACACTTCAGTAAGAACATTGCCGAGTTCCTGTAGATTTGCGCAGATGACGGGTCGTCCCGAAGGCGCGGTCTGGTCTGAAACCTACAGTGGTCACCCAAACATTGCGCACCGGATATATTTATTCTTTATTTGTTGAACTTATCTTTAGCAAACTTTTAGTATTATTTTTCATATATAACTGTATTTCACCACTGCATATGACGTTAAAAAGCAATAGCGAAGTTGCTGATTGTCTGGATTACTTGGCTGTTCCAGGTTCCTCCCCGAGAACAAGCATGAGTTGCACGAGTACATGTGGATGCCGTTTGGCGTCGGGCCCCGGAACTGTATGGGAATGAGGCTGGCCTTGTTGGAGGCCAAGATGGCGATAGTGGCTTTGGTGCAGAACTTTCGGTTTGTTGTAACTCCGGAGACAATAGTAAGTTGTTCAACCATTAGTTCATATTATATCCATTAATATTTCCTTACTGAGGGGATTACACATCAAATATTTATCACGAAGGTTAACTTTCATTACGAAAATTTATGAAACGCGAAGAACTATTTTCCTTGGCGAAGTCATCCTTTGTTGACATTATTTGTAAAGTTCCAGGAGCTGTCATGGAAGTCCCGTGCAGAGCTAGCGATATATATATCGTCACTCATATGTATCTAGATATACCGTCATAGTCTCTGCGCGTTGGTAGTTGTGAGTGAGTGAGCTTAGTTTTACGCCATTTTTAGCAATATTAGAGCACTATCACGATAGGGGACACCAGAATTGGGCTTCACACATCTTGGGGATCGAAGCCGTGACGAGCGAACGCTTTTAACGTCGAGGCTAACCTCACCGCCCCAGATTTGTATTAACTATAATTCATTACACATAACTATCGACCAAAGGGCATCGTGGGACCATAGCTTCTGGTTTCAGAATATGAGTGTTTGTTGACATGAGCATAGCCCCATCACGTGCTATATCAGCAGCGGTCTGATAGTCAGGAATCACTGTGCCAGAGTGTCCATCACGTGCTATATCAGCAGCGGTCTGATAGTCAGGAATCACTGCGCCAGAGTGTCCTTCACGTGCTATATCAGCAGCGGTCTGATAGTCAGGAATCACTGCGCCAGAGTGTCCATCACGTGCTATATCAGCAGCTGTCTGATAGTCAGGAATCACTGCGCCAGAGTGTCCATCACGTGCTATATCAGCAGCTGTCTGATAGTCAGGAATCACTGTGCCAGAGTGTCCTTCACGTGCTATATCAGCAGCGGTCTGATAGTCAGGAATCACTGCGCCAGAGTGTCCATCACGTGCTATATCAGCAGCGGTCTGATAGTCAGGAATCACTGCGCCAAAGCGTCCATCACGTGCTATATCAGCAGCGGTCTCATAGTCAGGAATCACTGCGCCAGAGTGTCCTTCACGTGCTATATCAGCAGCTGTCTGATAGTCAGGAATCACTGCGCCAGAGTGTCCATCACGTGCTATATCAGCAGCTGTCTGATAGTCAGGAATCACTGCGCCAGAGTGTCCATCACGTGCTATATCAGCAGCGGTCTGATAGTCAGGAATCACTGCGCCAAAGCGTCCATCACGTGCTATATCAGCAGCGGTCTGATAGTCAGGAATCACTGCGCCAGAGTGTCCTTCACGTGCTATATCAGCAGCGGTCTGATAGTCAGGAATCACTGCGCCAAAGCGTCCATCACGTGCTATATCAGCAGCTGTCTGATAGTCAGGAATCACTGCGCCAAAGCGTCCATCACGTGCTATATCAGCAGCTGTCTGATAGTCGGGAATCACTGTGCCAGAGTGTCCATCACGTGCTATATCAGCAGCTGTCTGATAGTCAGGAATCACTGCGCCAGAGTGTCCATCACGTGCTATATCAGCAGCGGTCTGATAGTCAGGAATCACTGTACCAGAGTGTCCATCACGTGCTATATCAGCAGCGGTCTGATAGTCAGGAATAACTGTGCCAGAGTGTCCATCACGTGCTATATCAGCAGCTGTCTGATAGTCAGGAATCACTGCGCCAGAGTGTCCTTCACGTGCTATATCAGCAGCGGTCTGATAGTCAGGAATCACTGCGCCAGAGTGTCCATCACGTGCTATATCAGCAGCGGTCTGATAGTCAGGAATCACTGTGCCAGAGTGTCCATCACGTGCTATATCAGCAGCGGTCTGATAGTCAGGAATCACTGCGCCAAAGCGTCCATCACGTGCTATATCAGCAGCTGTCTGATAGTCAGGAATCACTGTACCAGAGCGTCCATCACGTGCTATATCAGCAGCTGTCTGATAGTCAGGAATCACTGCGCCAGAGCGTCCATCACGTGCTATATCAGCACCGGTCTGATAGTCAGGAATCACTGCGCCAAAGCGTCCATCACGTGCTATATCAGCAGCTGTCTGATAGTCAGGAATCACTGCGTCGGTGTGTCCATCACGTGCTATATCAGCAGCGGTCTGATAGTCAGGAATCACTGCGCCAGAGTGTCCATCACGTGCTATATCAGCAGCTGTCTGATAGTCAGGAATCACTGCGCCAGAGTGTCCATCACGTGCTATATCAGCAGCGGTCTGATAGTCAGGAATCACTGCGCCAGAGTGTCCATCACGTGCTATATCAGCAGCTGTCTGATAGTCAGGAATCACTGCGCCAGAGTGTCCATCACGTGCTATATCAGCAGCGGTCTGATAGTCGGGAATCACTGCGCCAGAGTGTGAACCATTAGTACCATGGGTGTTTCTTTTTAATGTGACATAAAGGGTCAAATTATAACCCCTTATGTAATAATTGTTCTCCATGATATTTTGTAGAATTCTTTTTGTTTCCAAAATGTATTTCTGATTGAACTGTTTTCAGGCTCCGGAACAGCTACAAAATGGACGCTTCATTAGACCCGAAACTCGTGTTTTTGTCGGTGTTGAACGACGTGAATAGAGCAGAGCACAGCTGGGATCTTCATCTGATCTGCTAACCTGTCAAAGGAAAGGGTTGTGATCGTAGACTGACTGACTGAGTTTAGTTTTACGCCGCTTTTAGCAATTTTCCAGCAATATCACGGCGGGGGACACCAGAAATGGGCTTAACACATTGTGCCCATGTGGGGAATCGAACCCAACGCTTTAACCACTAGGCTGTGATCGTAGAAGTATTTTGACATATGGTTCTGTGGATCACTTATTAGAAAGTCACTTGAACATCATCATTTTCTCTTTTCACCTTGTTCTTGCCATAAATGTAGCCATCTAGATAGAAGGGTGATTGGAAAATGTCATGGGAAAAAGTCATGGGAAAAATAACTATGATAAAACATCCTCTTCTCCAGTTATATACCTTGTTACCTTGTTTATACTTAATTATATAAATACTATTTCACTTTCATCTTTAGTAATAAATGTTTTAAAACTGGACTTAAACTGTTTTAATATGTATCAATATGCTGTATGTTCTGTGTCACTGTATGTGATTTTTTAGAATAAAATTTCTGTTCTGTTCAGTAAAAGGACTAGTAATATGTTTTGAGAAGGGCACGGGAGATAGGAGTGTGTTGTTTCTATACTCTGTAGTGACTCTGGGGCTGCTCATCAATTAAATCATTCTATTCCCACAGAGGTTACTCCTGTCATATCTTCCTACGTAACCTCTGTTCTAATACGACCCCTTCATGGTGTGAGCGTTCAAGACTCGTGATTGGAGGCAATCAGACTTAGTTGTGCAATCAGCGACGTTGTTTCAAAAGTGATCATTCGCAAGGCCTCGGTAATTTCCGTATGCTTCGAGAAAACTAAACTTCTTACTTCTTCCCCTGCGCGATGCAGAACTCAGTCATGTTATGGCGGATCAGTGGCGTTTCCATCACCCTCGTTGACAACGGACAAGCTAGCCAGGCAGATGGGGGGATATTTGTGGCCCCACATTTGCTTGTGTTGGTCAAGTTGAATCAGTTGTAACACGTGTTCCGATTGGATGGAAAGAACGGAGATAATTCGTGTTGCGATCTTTTGCCGCTAGGGGATTTTACGAGAAACGGGAAATATGGCCGTATTAGAGCAGAGGTTCGTAGGAAGATATGACAAGTAACCTCTGTGGGAAGAGAATGCAATGTATAGGGATGGACAAAAAAAAGCATGGCTCAGCTAATTAGTGTACTCAAAGAGTCTGCCTTATGGGTGGTCTGTCTATTGGGAGGTAGCTTACCGTATTATACACATACGATATGTACCCAAACATGCTGACTTGATGCACTTGTTATCGCAGTAAACGCCATTCTTTTGGAGACACATACACCAAACTGATGTGTCATGCCAGCCTGGTTCCCGGGGTCTGCTGCGCTACGCTTCGACACTGAACCCCTGCAACACTACTGAATGGTGGCCATCACTGCTAGGCGTCACGCCATATATTTACTATAGAAAAATCTGAGAACGGGCGGTTAGAATTTTTCTTGCACTTTCATTGATATGGCAATGTATACGACACCAGAACAACGTCACATGGGCGAAATGTAAACAATGACACACATCCCATTTTCAACACCGACATGTGCGTTGGTATCTCGTTTTAGCTCGCTATTGTCACGAAATCATATACATAAAACATGGATCTGAACGACCACATTGATTAAATATAGTTAACATCGCCCCTTTCCGTAAACTCCAAGAAGCATTCGTCACTACTCGCCCCTTTCCGTAAACTCGTTATTCGGCTTGTCCCGGAATAACACGAGTTGGTCACGAATGGGCTAGGGGGGTGATGATGATTTTTTGGGAGAAGCATGTACAATGTGAATGACCCCTCCATATCAATTACAAAAACAATTACCCCTCCCCTTCCTATAATTTCTAAGCATAATTTTAAACATAATTGTATGTACAAAAAAGCTAAACCCCTCCCCCTAGTTTCCCAGAACCAAATTGGTGAGTAGTGAGTTCTACTAGATCCGGGTGTCTGCCCTTTAGGGATGGAGAGATGACCCAATAGTGAGTTCTACTAGATCCGGGTGTCTGCCCTTTAGGGGTGGAGGGATGACCCAATAGTGAGTTCTACTAGATCCGGGTGTCTGCCCTTTAGGGGTGGAGGGATGACCCAATAGTGAGTTCTACTAGATCCGGGTGTCTGCCCTTTAGGGGTGGAGGGATGACCCAATAGTGAGTTCTACTAGATCCGGGTGTCTGCCCTTTTGGGGTGGAGGGATGACCAAGTAGTGAGTTCTACTAGATCCGGGTGTCTGCCCTTTAGGGGTGGAGGGATGACCAAGTAGTGAGTTCTACCAGATCAGGATGTCTGCCCTTTAGGGGTGGAGGGTGACCCAGTAGAGAGTTCTACTAGATCCGGGTGTCTGCCCTTTAGGGGTGGAGGGATGACCCAATAGTGAGTTCTACTAGGTCCGGGTGTCTGCCCTTTAGGGGTGGAGATATGACTAAGTAGATAGTTCTACCAGATCAGGATGTCTGCCCTTTAGGGGTGGAGGGATGACCAGGTAGAGAGTTCTACTAGATCCGGGTGTCTGCCCTTTAGGGGTGGAGGGATGACCCGGAAGTGAGTTCTACTAGATCCGGGTGTCTGCCCTTTAGGGATGGAGGGATGACCAAGTAGTGAGTTCTACTAGATCCGGGTGTCTGCCCTTTAGGGGTGGAGGGATGACCCAATAGTGAGTTCTACCAGATCCGGGTGTCTGCCCTTTTGGGGTGGAGGGATGACCCAGTAGTGAGTTCTACTAGATCCGGGTGTCTGCCCTTTAGGGGTGGAGGGATGACCCAATAGTGAGTTCTACCAGATCCGGGTGTCTGCCCTTTTGGGGTGGAGGGATGACCCAGTAGTGAGTTCTACTAGATCCGGGTGTCTGCCCTTTAGGGGTGGAGGGATGACCAAGTAGTGAGTTCTACTAGATCCGGGTGTCTGCCCTTTAGGGTTGGAGGGATGACCCAATAGTGAGTTCTACTAGATCCGGGTGTCTGCCCTTTAGGGGTGGAGGGATGACCAAGTAGAGAGTTCTACCAGATCAGGATGTCTGCCCTTTAGGGGTGGAGGGATGACCAAGTAGTGAGTGCTACTAGATCCGGGTGTCTGCCCTTTAGGGGTGGAGGGATGACCCAATAGTGAGTTCTACTAGAGCCGGGTGTCTGCCCTTTAGGGGTGGAGGGATGACCAAGTAGTGAGTTCTACTAGATCAGGATGTCTGCCCTTTAGGGGTGGAGGGATGACCAAATAGTGAGTTCTACTAGATCCGGGTGTCTGCCCTTTAGGGGTGGAGGGATGACCCAATAGTGAGTTCTACTAGATCCGGGTGTCTGCCCTTTAGGGGTGGAGGGATGACCCAATAGTGAGTTCTACCAGATCCGGGTGTCTGCCCTTTTGGGGTGGAGGGATGACCCAGTAGTGAGTTCTACTAAATCCGGGTGTCTGCCCTTTAGGGGTGGAGGGATGACCAAGTAGAGAGTTCTACCAGATCAGGATGTCTGCCCTTTAGGGGTGGAGGGATGACCAAGTAGTGAGTTCTACTAGATCCGGGTGTCTGCCCTTTAGGGTTGGAGGGATGACCCAATAGTGAGTTCTACTAGATCCGGGTGTCTGCCCTTTAGGGGTGGAGGGATGGCCAAGTAGAGAGTTCTACCAGATCAGGATGTCTGCCGTTTAGGGGTGGAGGGATGACCAAGTAGTGAGTGCTACTAGATCCGGGTGTCTGCCCTTTACGGGTGGTGGGATGACCAAGTAGAGAGTTCTACTAGATCCGGGTGTCTGCCCTTTAGGGGTGGAGGGTGACCCAGTAGTGAGTTCTACTAGATCCGGGTGTCTGCCCTTTAGGGGTGGAGGGATGACCCAATAGTAAGTTCTAATAGATCCGGGTGTCTGCCCTTTAGGGGCGGAGGGATGACCCAAGTAGTGAGTTCTACTAGATCCGGGTGTCTGCCCTTTAGGGGGGGTGGGATGACCAAGTAGAGAGTTCTACTAGATCCGGGTGTCTGCCCTTTAGGGGTGGAGGGATGACCAAGTAGTGAGTTCTACTAGATCAGGATGTCTGCCCTTTAGGGGTGGAGGGATGACCCGGTAGTAAGTTCTAATAGATCCGGGTGTCTGCCCTTTAGGGGTGGAGGGATGACCCAATAGTGAGTTCTACTAGATCCGAGTGTCTGCCCTTTAGGGGTGGTGGGATGACCAAGTAGAGAGTTCTACTAGATCCGGGTGTCTGCCCTTTAGGGGTGGAGGGATGACCAAGTAGAGAGTTCTACTAGATCCGGGTGTCTGCCCTTTAGGGGTGGTGGGATGACCAAGTAGAGAGTTCTACTAGATCCGGGTGTCTGCCCTTTAGGGGTGGAGGGATGACCAAGTAGTGAGTTCTACCAGATCAGGATGTCTGCCCTTTAGGGGTGGAGGGTGACCCAGTAGTGAGTTCTACTAGATCCGGGTGTCTGCCCTTTAGGGCTGGAGGGATGACCCGGTAGTGAGTTCTACTAGATCCGGGTGTCTGCCCTTTAGGGGTGGAGGGATGACCAAGTAGAGAGTTCTACTAGATCCGGGTGTCTGCCCTTTAGGGGTGGAGGGATGACCAAGTAGAGAGTTCTACCAGATCAGGATGTCTGCCGTTTAGGGGTGGAGGGATGACCAAGTAGAGAGTTCTACCAGATCCGGGTGTATGCCCTTTAGGAGTGGAGGGTGACCCAGTAGTGAGTTCTACCAGATCCGGGTGTCTGCCCTTTAGGGGTGGAGGGATGACCAAGTAGAGAGTTCTACTAGATCAGGATGTCTGCCCTTTAGGGGTGGAGGGATGACCAAGTAGAGAGTTCTACTAGATCCGGGTGTCTGCCCTTTAGGGGTGGAGGGTGACCCAGTAGTGAGTTCTACCAGATCAGGATGTCTGCCGTTTAGGGGTGGAGGGATGACCCAGTAGTGAGTTCTACTAGATCCGGGTGTCTGCCCTTTAGGGGTGGAGGGATGACCAAGTAGAGAGTTCTACCAGATCCGGGTGTCTGCCCTTTAGGGGTGGAGGGATGACCCGGTAGTGAGTTCTACCAGATCAGGATGTCTGCCCTTTAGGGGTGGAGGGATGACCAAGTAGAGAGTTCTACCAGATCCGGGTGTCTACCCTTTAGGGGTGGAGGGATGACCAAGTAGAGAGTTCTACTAGATCCGGGTGTCTGCCCTTTAGGGGTGGAGGGATGACCCGGTAGTGAGTTCTACTAGATCCGGGTGTCTGCCCTTTAGGGGTGGAGGGAAGACCAAGTAGAGAGTTCTACCAGATCAGGATGTCTGCCGTTTAGGGGTGGAGGGATGGCACAGTAGTGAGTTCTACCAGATCAGGATGTCTGCCCTTTAGGGGTGGAGGGATGACCAAGTAGAGAGTTCTACCAGATCCGGGTGTCTGCCCTTTAGGGGTGGAGGGATGACCAAGTAGAGAGTTCTACTAGATCCG